CAGAAATTCTCATTACCTACCTTTTCCTTTTGTCATAGCCATAAGGAAAGGAGTCTGTGGTCGGTCTTCAAATTCTTCAGAGTGGTCAATGAGCGCTTCTTTTACTGCTTGGAATCCAGACACTATTATGAAGGGTTGATATCCTGCCCAAAGGGTGTAAATGTTTCCATATTGCTTTGCCATCTACCATTTGGGTCAAAAGAGAGAAGAGGAATGCTATGTTCAGATAGTTATTTCAACCGAATATGTGAGCTTCAGCCTTCCTCACCTCTTAAGCATCTCACTATACTCTCTTCTCTTGCCAGCATCTCCTTTTCTTTCTTTTGTTCCTTCCTTCATTCCAACCCATTTGTTTTACTCCCTCCTGCTTGTTTTTTCCCTGCGTGGGATCAGAGCAGCAGAGAGGCACTTCATCGTCTCCAGCCATCTGGTGACAGGCAAGTAGATTAGCCAGCCATTGCCAGAGGCTTCTTCATCATCACCATAAAAACATTTTGTGCGGGGATGTGGAAACTGGAGTCCACCAGATGCTGTTGGACTGCAACTCCCATCATCCCTGACCATTGGCCATGCTGGTTGGGGGAGATGGGCATTGTAGTCTGGAGGGCATCAAGTTGGTATAAGCTTGGCTAGAGCACTGGGTCAGGTTTATGACCCACGGTGGGTCACAACAGCAGAGGCGTAGCAAGGTCAGGTGGTACCTGGTGCAGAATTTCTTTTGTCACCCCCGCACATTGACATTTTTGGGGAAGGTTACCCAAAGTTGTTCAAATTTGTGGTAAGGAATTAAGAAGAGGTTGGAATTAAGTGGTAAGGAATTAAGCAATACCTGTCTGAATAATTTGGCTTACAAATGTATTAAACAAACAAACAAATTAAATATTGTCTCGTGTCTTCCCTGGCTACATATGAGCTACAAAAGTCCCATGGCTTTCCTGAGAATGATCTCCTGCTACACTGCCAAGTAAACTTGGTGTCCATTCATCTGTTGGAAGAGCATTCTGGGCCATGTTGCATCACACATGGGAAGAGTGGGAGGACAAGCTCCAGAGTGTATTGCAATAAACTATTTCATTGGCTCAGCTGCTTCTTTTGTGTGGTGTCTTTCAGATTTAAGCGTCCTTCATCCTGCAGATACAAACAACACACATAATAATAATATAGAAACTAATATAAAAGGACAAGAATCTGATTAATAATGAAAAGCACAAAAACATATAAAGTAGGAGAATTACAGCATGGGGAGCCAGGTGAAATCAGGAAAATACACATGCCAAAATGTTGTTGCATTTTCTCTATGAGAAGTGTTGACCAGTAAGTGGGAGCAGGATCAGCCTGTGCACCTTCCTGTCTCAGTGCCATTAGTCTCACAGCTGCAGCTGGTGCTTTTAAATGACTCTCTGATGCTGATTTCACAGACCTGGCCTTTTGCTCATGCTGGGAGTATTGCGTGGCGAGTTCCCGCCTCCTCCCAAGGAAATAAAGACACAGGACACAAGAATTCAGGTTAATGGGTCGAATTAGGCCACAACTTTATTGATTACAGGAATTGAGCGGTATTGGCTTAGGCATTGGTCCTAACTACTAACCGGCTAGAAGCCGGAAGGGTTAATCACCAGGGGGAGGAGTCCTCCTGAGGCACGTCAACTAGGCCCTCCCCTGGGCGTCACCGCGTGGGGGCGTGCTGTGGGCCCACACCTCCTTAGGCTTAGGAGAAGGCCACGCCCCCTGGAATCCTTTACCGGACTACCCTTGCCTGGGGAAAGGTGATGGCGCTCCTTTCCCCCATTCATTTGCATAACAATAGAACAGTACCCCTACCAATGCCTAACTGCCAATACCGAAGAGTTGTGACGGTTTGCTACGAGGTAGGCGAAAACCAAATGGCTGGAGCCAATCTGTCATTTGGGAAAATTCCTACCAGGCCCCTTGACGGCGACCAACCGTAGTTCATATCAACGTCAAAGAACCTATCCTAAAAAAGGGGTGGGATGGGCGGGAAAAACCTGGTCAGCTGCAGCAGCGGAGGAAAAGAGGAGGAGCCTCAGCTGCAGCAGGTTTAAATAGCCGAGGCCCCGCCCTTGGAGCCAGCCGACTGGCTGGTCCGGGGTATGACACGGGCGGAGATTCCCTTAGGTATCGCGGGGGCTGGCTCCAGCCTGGGGAATCTGGGGAAGGGGCGTGATGCCTGCAACCCCACCTCCTATGTTTATTGCAGAAGTGGTTTTACCTGGAGATTAGCATTTACTGCAGAGATGCAATTTGCTGTATTAGTCTTTGAATTGCTTTTTAAAATTTTTTAAGTATTTGTATTTCCAATGAAGAAGATGAAGACTTTTCCAGGCTTAACGTCTTGAATAGCATATGCAGGTCTGTATCTGTTGAAGTGTTGCCATGAATGAATGCAGAGTGATCTTTGTGCTCACTCTTTTTAAAATGCATTTTCTTATGTGATTGTGGTCAGTGCTGTGGGTTTATTTTTTTTAATATAATGTTCATATTAACCAGGAGTGATGGCTCTAGAAGATTTGAAAGAATGGAGGTAAACATTTTTCATGTTAATTCTCTGGTTGGTTATAAACATCCACATAAGATGTAACAGTATTCACAGTGCCGTATGAAGAGGGGGGCAGAGGGGATGGGTCACTCCGGGTGCCACCTTGGGGGGTGCCAAGTTGGGCCGCTGCCTCCCTCCAGCTGTGGAGCAGCAAAGGGCACGAGCGCAGTCAGCATGGGTGCCACTTGCGGCATCCGTATGAGCTGCCACTCGCTCACGGTGTCCATACGAGCTGCCGTGCATGCGTAGTCTGATCGGGCTGCCGAGCGGTTCACCCCACCCCTAAGCGTACCACCCCGGGTGACGAAGAGGGTTCCTCCACCACTGAGTATACAACAACTTACCGTTTCAATTGTGATATAGAAAAAATAGGGGTGGTTGGTTTTTGCTGCCCAACTCCCCAAGGGACTGAGTCCCCTAAGTCCATGATGGGTAAGAGATGACTGGATGGAGGGAGGGTGCAGTGAAAGCAAGGCAGATCTTTATTTTTTCCGTTGCAACAGAGTTCCCTCCACTCCTTGTAAGGAGACTAGAGAGACCCAGAACCCAAAAGAAACATCTCTTTTAAGGATTTGCTCCATTTTGGCGTGGAGAAGGAGGACCTCCCCTCTACAAACAGTCAGAAATTACATCACACACAAGGTGGGGTTACTGTGGTTGAGGCAAGCCAAGATGTGATATTCCTGAGTATGTAGCAAGTTTTACATAGTTCCAGACACAGTTTACACAAAACATTAGCATTTGATATGCCTGTCAGACATCCCTCAATGCAGAGCATCTGGGCAAACAATGACAATTAATACAAAGGAGATTCATTGCTATAGGAGAGGAATCCCTTCAGGAACTTCCCTTGACTGCTATCTGCCTACGTGTTCTCAGGCAAGGGGGATTAAGGAGGCAGAGAAAATACTGAGAATCTTTAGGAGAGCCAAGATGACTTTTGGATTGCTCCCCTGTACTATTTTAGACAAGTGGTTTATATCCTTACGTATGTTTGTTTACCTTGTTCAATTATCAACATTTCTTCTATTTTTTAGACCTTAGAATTCCTATAACAATTGGCAATTTCTGAATGCACATTTTCAACTTTTGTGTGTTTTTATACTAATGCCCTTGTACGTAACACAGCAGGAGTGCCTGGAATGAACAAATTCAGATTACCTAGCTCACTGAATTTATTAAAAAATATATGTTTATTTTGTATAATTTTTCATTTATTAAATTTTTATTTAGCCACTTTTTCTTGACCTTACTACACATGAAAGTAGTTTATAAAAATTCTGTGTGACCTGAATATGAATGACACTTCTCTCGCAATGGAACATTGGGGGATTTTTAATTAAATTCAGTTTCAGTAAATGTAGGGGTTTCATCACATTTTATTCTGTGCTTGGTTGTGGCCATGACATTTACTGTTTTAACCCTTACTATTGTTTAAGCTTAAATATCATAGTTGTTAAGGGAAATAGGTAAAACAATTGTTCATATTAGACTGAGTTAAAAATAAGTACCTTAATGAAAGTATCATCACGAAGCTTCACCCCAATCCGCCACACGCCTCCAATGAGAGGAAGCTGGAGAGGTCCAGGAGGATAGTGCCTATTTGACCAGAGCTGTTTCAGGAAGTGCAGAATCAGAAGAACCACCAGCAGAGCAATAAAAAATGCCCCTACTTCCATCCTTCTCTTGCTTTCAATTTCTCCTTGATACTTTTTAGGATTCCTGGTTAAGTTCAACACTCTTTCTCTAAGGCGATCTTGCTTTCCTCAGAGAAATCAACACTTCTCTCTCCTTATATACTCTCTTATTAATAAGGAATAAGTGTTCTGACACCATGTCCAAGTAGCCTTGGAATGTGATCCCAAGTCATGTGCTACAGTTGAAAACTATAATCATTTTTCATGTGTCACTCAGATGACAGGAAGTCTGATTAATATGAATTACAATTAGCATTTTGGCTAGTGTAAGACTGATTTGTGCCAAAAACATTGGGAAAATATGTAACATACATTCATGAAATAAAATTGCATATGGAAAAGGTCCAGTGCAAATGCCCATGGGAAGCCCTCAGCCCTCATGGCAATAGCCCTTAAAATATCTATTAATGATAAATTAACACATGCTATTAAGGTAAGATGGGGAATATGCAGGAGACACGGAAGGTGTTTGTAGAATTTGTGCAGCTAAAACAGAAAGGGGTCAAACTATCACAAGAGGTGTTGAAATTTTGGGAGGTTGGATAGTTACAATGGAATGGTCTCGGGGGTAGGGTGCACATTTTTATTCTTATTTATTTATTATCACTTTGTCAAAATAAAAAATTAAAAAATTAAAGTAGCAGCTGCTGCGCAAGAAAGAGAATTATTATTATTATTATCATCATTATTATCATTATTATCATTATTATTATCATTATTATCATTATTGCTATTACTGTTATTAAGTCAGTAGTACAAATGAGAAAAGCTTACTAGCAGCACTTCACATAGAGCGAGGTAGCTTTTCCAAGGCCTGTACTTGTGAGTGTCTGGCTGATATATCTAACTATGCTATCAAAACCTTCATTGATCCCTGGCAAAGAGACTTCTGACCATAACACATATGCTTGACTCACGCCCTTTCTGGTTCATTAAGTTCAAGTGAGGACCAATACAACATTTCTGCAACATTAAACTGTGGAATTTGCTCCCAGAAGATGTAGTGATTCCAATCAACTTGGATGGCTCAGAAAGAGAATCAGATAGGATCATGGAGGTTAAAGCTATCAGTGGGTACAAACCACAAGGGCTGTGTTCTGCCTACACTGTGGCTATGGATATCACTTTCTGGAAATTGTAAGTGAGGAGAGTGCTGTTGCGTTCAGTTTCCTGTTTGGAGGCTTCCCACAGACATCTGGAGAACTAGACGGGTCCTATCTTGCCTGGTCCAGCAGAGTTCCTCTTATGCCTTTGTACTTTTATTAAGAAACAGCAAAAATAAATGTGCAAGCAACTGACACCTTCACATGGCCCACAGCATGCTGCCATCCAGTTTGAATATTGTGAGATGGGTTTTACACTAAAAGGGAAAAGTGTCTGTTTTAAGCAATGACAGAAGTTTGAGTAAAGTAGGACTAGAGGGACACTGAGAGGAAAATAGTGCTTTTAAACAAAATCAGAGGTTTGCATTGCCACGGGGAATAGCACAGAGTTTATAAGGATGGGGATGTGTTGTAACCCCTAGTAAAGGCTCTTGATTGAGTTCTTTCACTCCTTCTGGCAGCTGGAAGCTGAATTTTCTCAGCAAGCTGGTCAGGAAGATGAAGATTTCGATCTTTGCCAGCTGCATTCCCAAACAAATGCGAGCCCCTGAAGAGGAGACATGGGAAAGTCAGCAACTGAGTAATAATTTACTTTTCAGTGTCAATTACTTCGCAGCTATAAAACATGCTATACTGTATAATACTTTGGAGAACTAGACATAGTTAGGAAAGTGAAATAATCAAGAAGAAGATGAAGAATTTATACCCTGCCCATCTGTCTGGGTTTGCCCAGCCACTCTGGGCAGCATCCAACCAAATATTAAAAACATGATATAGCATTAAACATTAGAAAACTTCCCCAAAAAGGGCTTCCTTCAGATGTCTCCTAAAAGTATTATAGTTGCTTATTTCCTTGACATCTGCTGGAAGGGCGTTCCACAGGGCAGGCATCACTGCCGAGAAGGCCCTCTGCCTGGTTCGATGTAACCTCACATCTTGCAGTGTGGGAGCTGCAAGAAGGCCCTTGGAGTTGTACCTCAGTGTCCGGACTGAAGGATGGGGGTGAGGATGCTCCTTCAGGTATACTGGGCCAAGACCCTTTAGGGCTTTAAAGGTCAGCACCAACACTCGGAAACTGAGTGGGAGCCAATGTAGGTCTTTCAGGACCAGTGTTATATGGTCTCGGCGGCCACTCCCAGCCACCAGTCTGGCTGCCGCATTCTGGATTAATTGCAGTTTCCGAGTCACCTTCAAATGTAGCCCCACGTAGAGCACATTGCAGTAGTCCAGGGGGGAGATAATTAGAGCATGCACCACTCTGGTGAGACAGACTGTGGGCTGGTAGGGTCCAGGGAGTCCTCCACACCCACTCGCCCCCTGTCCCCCAAGAACTGTACTTCTGTCTTGTCACTATTCAACCTCAGTCGGAAGTGGGATAGTTTAACTGCAGACTCAGTTCTGAATATAGTTTCATAGCAGGCATTCCATGAAAAGAGGTGGGGGAGCTTTAGCCTTGTCACCTGAAAAGAAGTTGGATGGCATCCAGCTGTGACGTGTGACAGGGAGCAACAGCACCCTGGTGCTGGCAGTGTTACCTCTCTCAGGGACAGGGCAATGGGGTGGCAAGTGTGAAGATGTCCAGATTGCTAGTGATGGGGGCCCCATAAGGGTTTGGGTACCTGTGAGTCCAAAATCAGCCACCCAGAAATTCCCTAAATTATCAACAGCCTTGTCCCATCCTGCTGACCAGCAGTGCCACTCCTACCAAGGGGATATTGCATCCATTCTGCCCTACTCTCTTGCTGCTGCTGATGTCATTTCCTGGAAGGCAACCAATAAGCATGTCTATAGACCCCAACTCAGCTTGGACTTTTGCATTCACCTGCACCAAATGGCAGATATTCTTCTCTGTCCACAAATTGTCCATTCTTGTCCAAGAAATGATTTGGGTTGAACTCTGCAGGAGTCTCCCATCGTGTTGGATCAAGAAGAACAGAGCGCAGATCAAGAAGAATGGCAGTCCCCTGCAAAGAAGAAAGAATTAACTTGGAATGCATTCAGATCAACACATTCCAGAATTCTCCCTCACTGTCCCAGGACGAATCTTTGCAGAGTTCCAACTGAATTGAAACTCAGAGTTTTGGACTTCCGGGGGTGGCGCGAACGGCAATGGCGGTCCTCTTTGCTCGGTAAAGAGGAAGCTCCACAGAAACGGATCGTCCGCTATGGCGAAGCGGAGACCCACTTTGAAAAACCACAGGCAGCGATAGCCTGTGGCCGTGGGACTCAGCGGGCACCATTGGCGCCCCCTGAAACGTTGAAGGGACCCCGTAAGGGGCTCCGGAGTGTGGAAGGGCTGGCACGGTGCTGAGAGTCGATCGCTCTTTCTGAGGAGTGAAGCCGCAAAGCTGCTGTCGGTGAGCGCTGACCCTTTTCCTGGGAACAATCGGCTTTGAAAATACTATCCCGTGAGTAGAGGGAACTTTACTGAATTTTGGCTTAAATTTATTCTTGATTTGGCTGCAGCGGGAGACGCAACCAGGAAGTCCGTCTCCCGGTACTGTTTAAAGATTCAAAGCAAAGACTAAAACTTTCTAATGCCTTTGAAGTTGGGATTTTTAAAAGGAATTAATTCGTGCATCAATTGAACGGACTTTGCTTTTACTTGTGGACTTTACTTTCTTATTTCTGGACATTCTCTTACCTCTTTCTTTGTGGATTTACAAAATTTATCAAGAAATCCAGGCAGAGCTGTCAGACTGTTGGACTTAGCAACATTGGATTGATACATTGGATTGCTGTTGGAAAGTTACATTGAATCTGGCACTTTTTAGAGACATTGTAAGTATCTCAAAGAGTAACTCTGCAAAGGTTAAAGATTTGGAGTACTATTGGGACTTTGAGGCTGTTTGGTACTGTTATTAATTTTTAAGGGACTTGGAGTAATTTGGAAAAAAATTGAAGGAACAACAATTTTGTTTTTCCCTTTAAGAAACAATTATACCCCCTCTAGAGGATCTTTGGAAATTTACACCTACTGGGGACTGTGTTTTTGTTTTGCCTATCTGTGGACTTGTGGATTCCCATGGGAATTGCAATTTGACTGACCTTGACGCATAGACAGAAGTGGGATGAGTGGGACTGGGAGAACAAGATCAGCCAAAGCTAAGTCACAACAAACCACTCTAATCTCACAGTTGCGCAGATCTTCTGTTCCTATTGTCTCTGTGACACAAGAGGAAGAATCAGAGCAAGCTAGGCCGGAAGGAATGGCTGCAGGAGGAGACTCCCCTTCAGTATTAGAAAAAAAAATTGAAAAATTGGAAGGCCTGAGCAAGCAAGTGGCTGAGCAATCATCTAAAATAGACCAAAACACTGCCAGTGTTAACAATCTGACTCAACAAGTTGCTTTAAATGCACAATCAGTTGGGAAACTATTGGAAGCCACTACAGAAAATCGTAAATTAGCCGAGGAGGCAAAACAGAAAGCAGAGGCCGTGCAAGAGGAAGTAAAACCTATGCGCAAACAGATTGGTGAGCACCAAGCGTACCTGTCTATGATAGAATTAAAAAGTAAGGAGAGTAACTTGAGATTGAGATCAGTTCCAGAGCTTGAAAAGGGAGATTTAATTGAATATCTGACAAAAGAATTTACTCAATTCTGGTCTTTGGAAGAAGATAAAGATTTTAAAATTGTAAGTGCATTCAGACTTGGAAAAGGAGGGAGGAAAGGCAAGTTTAGAGACTGCCTGATCTCCCTCAGAATGAAAGTAGAAAGAGATAAGATACTGAGTGCACATTTTCAAAAGACTCTTGAAATTCAGGATTTGAAAGTGGAAATTTACAAGGACATCCCGAAACACCTACTGGATGTCAGAACCAGCTACGGAGACTTGGTGAAACTATTAAGATCCAACACAATTGCATTCAGGTGGGAGTTCCCCCAGGGATTATCCTTTACCTTTAGGGGGAAGAAAGTTAAAATCAAGACAGCGGAAGACAAGGAAAAATTCTTGAGTGTCTACGGAGAAGACCTTCAGAAAGGGATTGGAGAGGAATCTGGAGCCTTAGGACCTGAACCATCAAGTTTGATACCTACACCTCTGGGTATTGACGAATTGGAAGTGATACCACCGCAGTCGAAAGAATAAACAGCCCAACATGTCTCTGCAACTTCTAAGCTGGAACATTCATGGTTTTAACTCCCCAGAGAAAAGAAGGAAGATTTTTCATTTATTAAAAAAGGAACAATTGAACATTATTTGTTTACAGGAAACACATGTGATTAGGCTTCACAGGAAAGTGCTAATTAATAAGAGACTAGGCCAAGAATTTATTTCATCTGACAGAGTGAAGAAGAGAGGAGTTGTGATCTATGCAAAAGAAGGCCCATCACCTAAATTTCTTTTTAAGGATGAGCAAGGAAGAATTTTGGCAATTGAAATTCAAACACAAGCGGGAAAATTTTTGATTTTGGGGATTTATGCACCAAATGAGGGGAAATCGGAATTCTACAAGAAGCTGCATGATATAATGTTGGACTACATGGACTATAACAACATCATTATGATGGGCGACATGAATGGGGTGGTATCTACGAACATGGATAAAGCACAAAGCCAAAGTATCACAAAAGAGGGCAGACTACCAAAGACTTTTTTTGAATTAACTGACAATATGGATTTAATTGGCATCTGGAGAACAAAGAACCCCTTAGGAAGAGAGGGGACATTCTTCTCTGAAGCCAAAATGACATGGACAAGAATCGACCAAATATGGATAACTAGAGGTCTGGCACCTAAGATTAGAAAAGTGGAAATCTGCCCAAAAACCTGCTCCGACCATAATGCAGTAAAGATGGAAATGAGATTAATTTCAACTGGTTCCTTCAGATGGAAGATGAATGACACCTTACTAAGAGATCAGGAGATAGTTAAGAAGGCCCAAAAGAATCTGCGTGATTATTTTGAAATAAATTTGAAAACTACAGTTGAAAAAAGAGTAATCTGGGATGCAAGCAAGGCGGTTATGAGGGGGTTTCTGATACAACAGAATGCGGTAAAGAAAAGAGCTTTGAATGAGAAAAAAGATAAGATCTTGGAAAAAATAAAAGAAGGAGAGAAAAAACTAAGATCGAAACCAAAGTCACAGGAGATTCTGAGAGAAATTAAACTTTTTCAAGCACAATATACAAAATTGATAAACCAGGAAGTTGAGTGGAAAATTAAACAAATGAGACAAAGGACTTTTGAATCGGCAAACAAATGCAGAAAACTGCTAGCATGGCAGTTGAAAAAAAGACAGAAGTTGAATACGGTCACCAACTTAGAGATTGAAGGGAGAAGTATCCAGAACCCTGTGGAGATTCAAAAATGCTTCCAGAGATTTTTTAAACAACTTTATACTCAAGGGCCACAAAAAGAGACTGAGATAGACCAATTTTTAAGAAACAATGGATTACCAAAACTCTCTCAAGAAAATAAGACAATATTGAATTATAAAATAACAGAACAAGAGATTGAAAGTGCCATTCAGAATATGCAATTGGGCAAATCTCCAGGGCCGGATGGGCTAACCTCCAAGTACTATAAGACTTTGAAAGACTACTTGATTCATCCACTGAAGGAGGTCTGCAATGAGATTATGGAGGGGAAGAAGGCACCGGAGTCGTGGAAAGAAGCTTTCATCACACTTATACCTAAATCTGAAACTGAAAAGACACAACTTAAGAACTACCGTCCCATTTCCCTTTTAAATGTGGATTACAAAATTTTTGCAGATATTTTAGCTAACAGGCTAAAAAAAGTGCTAAATGAAGTGATTCATAAAGACCAGGCAGGCTTTCTCCCAGGCAGACATTTGTCTGATAACACAAGGAACATTATTGACATTTTGGAATTATTGCAAATGAACACTAATACAAAAGCAGTACTGATCTTTATTGATGCGGAGAAGGCCTTTGACAATATCTCTTGGAATTTTATGAAGAAAAATCTTAAAGGGATGGGAGTGGGACGGGGGTTTGAAAATGGCATAGATGCTATCTATTCAGAACAAAAGGCAAAATTGATAGTTAATAATGTGGTGACAGAAGAGTTTAAAATTGAGAAAGGAACACAACAGGGTTGCCCTATCTCTCCATTGTTATTTATTTCGGTCCTGGGGGTGCTCTTGAACATGATCAGAAGGGACCGGTTGATTGAAGGAATTCAGGTCGGAGCCAAACAATATAAACTAAAGGCCTTTGCAGATGACCTGGTTTTGACATTGCAGGAGCCAGAATCTAGTACGAAAAGAGTTTTAGAACTGATTCAAGAATTTGGTTGGGTGGCGGGATTTAAACTAAATAAACAAAAAACTAAGGTTTTGGAAAAAAAACTTGACAAACATGGAAAAAGAAAGGTTTCAGAAGGAGACAGAGTTAAATGTGGTTAAAAAGGTGAAATATCTAGGGGTGAACATGACGGCTAAAAATTTGAACCTATTTAAAGATAACTATGAAAAATGCTGGTTAGAAATCAAAAAAGATCTAGAAATTTGGTCAAAATTGAAGCTTTCCTTGTTGGGTCGAATTGCTGCTATAAAAATGAATGTATTGCCAAAAATGTTGTTTTTGTTTCAGACTTTGCAGATTGTGGACAAGATGGATTGTTTCAAGAGGTGGCAGAAAGATATCTCTAAGTTTGTCTGGCAGGGCAAAAAGCCCACAATAAAATTTAAAATATTAACTGATGCTAAAGAAAGAGGGGGGTTTGCCCTGCCAGACTTGAAACTTTATTATGAATCAGCAGCTTTCTGCTGGTTGAAAGATTGGCTACTTCTAGAGAACACTGACACTTTGGATTTGGAAGGGTTCAACAATGTGTTTGGGTGGCATGCATATTTGTGGTACGACAAGGTTAAAGCTCATAAAGCATTTAAGAACCATATTGTCAGGAAAGCAGTGTTCAATGTCTGGACAAGATATAAGGATTTATTGGAAAATAAGACCCCAAGGTGGTTGTCACCAATGGAAGCTAAGGCTCAGAAAAGACTTAATATGGAGGCCAAATGGCCAAAATATTGGGAGATATTAGAAAACGATGGAGACACTTGGAGATTGCAGAGTTTTGAGAAACTAAAAGATAAAGTGCGAGATTGGTTACATTATCGTCAAATTAGGGAGGTCTTTAATGAGGATAAAAAACCAGGTTTCCAGGTGGAAAAACTGAAACTAGAAACTGAACTGTTAGAACCCAAAATTAAGGTATTGTCAAGAATGTATAACTTGCTGTTAAAATGGAACACTCAAGATGAAACGGTCAAATCAACGATGATAAAGTGGGCACAAGACATTGGTTATAATATTATGTTTGCTGACTGGGAACGGTTATGGACCACTGGAGTAAAGTTCACGGCATGTAATGCCTTGAAAGAAAATATTATGAAAATGATATATAGGTGGTACATGACCCCAGTCAAGCTTGCAAAAATATACCACTTGCCAGATAATAAGTGTTGGAAATGTAAGGAAACTGAGGGAACATTCTTTCACCTTTGGTGGACATGCCCCAGGGTTAAGGCTTTCTGGGAAATGATCTATAATGAACTGAAAATGTATTTAAATATACCTTCCCTAAGAAACCAGAGGCCTTCCTTTTGGGCATTGTTGGCCAAATGGTGCCAAAGAAGGATAGAACTTTCTTTATGTATGCAGCAACAGCAGCAAGAATACTTATTGCAAAGCACTGGAAGACTCAAGATTTACCCACCCTGGAAGAATGGCAGATGCAACTGATAGACTATATGGAATTGGCAGAAATGACTGACAGAATCCGAGACCTGGGAGAAGAGCTAGTGGAAGAGGACTGGAAGAAATTTAAAGACTACTTGCAAAAGCATTGTAAATTGTATGAATGTTAGAATGATGTGGGATATAAAGAAAATGTGGTATTAGTGATATAGTTAAAGGATGTATGCAAAAAAGGTTAACAGAACAAAGGTGAAGTTAGAACAACATTATGTTAAACTTAAACAAAATGAAAAAATGGGTAAAAATTGGAGACTAAATAGTGGAAACGTATAATATGAAATAAGATTTGAAAGAAGGTGAGGTATTGCTGAATAAGATTTTGTAAAAAGGAACGCAGAAAAGGGAGATGCGAGGGAGTCCGGAAAGAGGGTTATGAGAATAATATATAAGAAATTGGTTTTTTCTTTTCTATGCTTGTTCATGTATTTTTTCTTCTGTTTTTTTGTTGGGGTTTTTTTACTGTGTTTTTCTTTTTGATTCTTGAGTGGTGTTTTTTCTTTTTTCTCATTTTGTATTGTGAAGTTTGTTTTATTGTTTGAAACTCTAATAAATATCTTTTTAAAAAAAGAAACTCAGAGTTTTGAGGGGACAGGTTGGTATTTAACAGTGGCCATATTCATCCTCAACTTCTTTCTATTAAAAAAATATTTCTATACAAGCAGAAACACAGCAGGGCGTCCCCCAACACCTGTTTCAAAAAGGCCTCGCTGAGACCTTTGGCCACTGCATGCTCCTCTGAGGTGCCACATGGCCCCAGGAATAGCACTAGTGAAACATGTCTGCAGGTGGAACTCCTGTTTTAGACTACACAGGAAGTTTCTGCATGGCTGGGGGCATCTCTGAATATGCAACCTACTCATAGACTCTTGGGATACAGGCGTGCAGCTGTATCACTCTTCTTTACCTTGGGAAAGAGAAAACCACGCATCTTCACATCCTTTGTACATTGCCTAGGAGCCCCCATAAATAAGGCATATTGAAAGCGCTGCATTTCATGAATCACAGCATTGGTGTAGGGCAGTTTCTTCTTATCTTGATAGCAGATTGTGTGAGAAGAACCTAAAGCATCTTCTATCTCCTTGTGGACTTTATCTGAAGAAAATTACAGAAACAAAAGTTTTATTTTGAATATATAAACTTCATTCTCCCCCAGTACTTGGCATGGGCAGTGTTAAAGGGCTAGAGCAGTAGCTAGAATATCAAATGGAAAACAGATAATCCAAAGTTTGTTTCGTTTAAAGGGAACTACATAACAAGGAAGATTAGGTGCCTCACCAATTGTTGGGGTGGATCTACACACCGGGGGGGGGGGGACTGGGACCACTATAAATAAGTCAGTAATTAAATCGTTATAACAAAAGAAAAGAAAAAGCTATGTAAAAATTGCATAGAGATTTCTTTTAGTCTCTGGTGCCATCTGGTGTTGCATATTTATAACACATTGAAAACTTTTCTGTCTAATGTAGCTGAGTTCTTGGCAGTGGCATAGGAAGGGAGAGGGGGCGCACCGCTCCGGGTACCATCCTGAAGGGGGCGATATTTGGCACGTGTTGGACTAACCAGAGCTCTGAAGATCTTTGCCACGTATTGTCAACTCAACCAATTAACCATCAACCATGTTAAATCCAAGATTCTGATTTTCTCCAGAAGCCGGAGATTATACGAATGGAAGCTTGGTGGAGCAAAAATAGAGCAAGTCCTAAAATTTCAATACCTTGGAGTTATTTTTCAATACAATTTGGGGTGGAAAGCTCAAATTCAACACCTACTTAACAAGGCCAAAACTCTGTCATATACGCTCCTCCGATTTTTCTTTTCGGATGGAGCTTTGCATGTTCCCTCGGCCCTAAAGGTGTTCAAGGCAAAAGTGGTTGCCGTGCTTGCTTATGCTGCCCCGCTCTGGGCCGTGATGACAGATCTTGCTCCCCTTGAGACTCTGCAAAACCAATTCCTACGTCGGCTCCTAATGCTCTCCCTGTGTGTAAGCAACGCAGCCATGCGACTAGAATTGAAGATCGCATCCTTAGAAACTTGCCTGTGGAAGCAAGTCTTCAACTATTGGTTATCATTGTGGCATAGATTACCAAACCATTACCTTGTCCAATGCTTATGGCGAGATGAATTCTCTAGCCTTTGGACTAGTAGAATTCATGCCAAACTCCTGAGTTATGGAATCTCTCCCTCAGATTCCCTAAAACTAGACCAAATCACTGCTCAAAGACTGATCCGCCAAAGACTGGATGACATCGACTTACAGCGAAATTATACGCTGGGGGGAGGTGTTTGTTCGCCCCAGAACATTGGTATCACTTTAACTTACTGCGTTCCATCATACCTCTCCTCCCTTTCGACTGTTGCCCATAGACTGGCCTTCACCAAAGCGAGGTTTAACGTTTTTCCCTCCAATGTCCTGAGACATAGATTCTCAAAGGGCCAAGCCTCCGCCATGTGCGAATGTGATAAGGAGACGCCGGAGTCGCTCCAGCACATTATGTTCACTTGCCCCTTGTTCAATGTGCCACGGGCAAATTTGTTGGGATCAATCATACAGAAACTAGAGGGTACCCCACCAAAATTCCACCTTGCCCAAATCTTGCAGGATAAGGATACCCACACGACCCTGAAAGTGGCTAGGTTCCTGGTCGCTGTCCTTACCCAAAAGCGACACCAAGGAGCACTTCAAGCTAATTAAGGCGTAGTATGCCATTCCATCTTATAGTATTTTATTGTTATAGTGGTGTTTTAGCGGCTGTTTTTTCCCACGTGCACAAGCTGTTATTTATGTGTTGTTTTTACTTGTATGGGCCTATGGCCGTAATAAATAAATGTATGTATGCACGGGGCCCCTCACCCCGCACCTCCCAAGCCAACGCCGGCACAAGTGGCAAAGCATCGGCAACCACCGTCCCCCTGCCTGCCTCCCCAGCTCACTGCAAGGTGGGCCAGGTCCTGCTTTCCCTGCCCATCTATGTCCCATCCTTAAAGGCTCCTGCAGAGGTGTAGCAGCGGCTCCCCCCCCCCCCCCCGCGCGCCATCATGTCCAGAGCGTCTTTGCAGAGCTTGCCTGAGCATGTTGCTTTTGGTTTCCCCGCAGCCCTCATTTAAAAGCCTGCCGCGCGCAGTCCAAGGTCTTTGCTGCTTTTGTTGGGGGATTCAGTGAGCTGTAAATCATCCGGTGAGTTTTGCTTGGCAAACTGGGGGGACGGGACCCCGGGAGTTTTCTTCTTCTTTTGTCTTTGCGCTCCAGTACTCAAGGGGTGGTGGTGGAAATGAATTGCTGAGAGGAGAATCACACTATTCTGTTCACTGGGGTTTTTTAACTCTGAGAGGAGTGCGGTTTGCCACCCAATTTTGTTTTGCTTTTTTCCCTCTGGAAGGGTGTCCAAGGATTTCCTGTGTTTACTCCCGAGTAAGCAACTTTGGATACAACCCAGTAAGTTTTGCTAATAGGAGAGGAAAATACATATTCCCCAACAATGCAGTTTTAGCAGCTTCTGTTGTGTCTCTAGTCTCATCCTCTCCTGTTGTCTTCTTCTGCTTATTTTTTTAACCACCAACCACTTGTCTTCTGAAACACGCTGCACTCCCTTCATCACTGAATTGCCCTTTTGAGTTAATTCTCTAGTCCTGTTTTGGCATGTGTGCATGTGACAAGAAGGGCATTGTACATGTACATTGTACATTCACACATTATGCTTTCTGCTGTTTAATTCATGCATGACTTTCAAACTAAGATTGAACTCTAGTTCTGTGATTGCATATGTGCATGTGACAAGAAGAGCATTGCACATGTTTCCATGCTACATTCACACATTACGCTTCCTGCTGTTTCATTCATGCATGTCTTTCAAACTAAGATCGAATGGCGCTTTTTTCCATTGCCAGATGAGAACGACACTTTTCAGAAAGCTTTTCACTGTGACTCCCGAAACCCTTTATGGACAGTGGATTTGGCCCCTATTGGATCTGATGTGATATTATAGATTGCTGAGAGAGAGAGAAGACGGTGGTCCAGGGCTCCTGTCCATCGCTCTGAGCATGGGCATAGCCGGGGGAGCAGTGCCCCCCCCAGATACACAAAAATCATTTTAAAGCCAGTAGCACATGTGAAAAGGTTCTAGGCGTCTTGGTGGGCCACAAGTTCAACATGAGTCGTGAAGCTCCAAAGTCCGGCAACCGTTAGCGACCAGTTTCTCCGACCAAATATAGAAGATTGGCTAATCGTGAGTAAAAAAGGATTTTAATTTGGACTATTAATTGATTTGAAACGGATTCAAATTACGGAGGTTGATCGCTTTCTGCTGAAGTAAAAGTGAAAGCAGTTAACGCTGACCGAAGCTGCAACTTTGAAAGACTTGTTAAAACTTCCAAGGAATCATTTTAAGCCCCTCTTTCTGCAGGGGGAAGGGGGAAGAATTTGATTGAATTGAGACCCTGCATGAGATACATTTGACAGTGGAATAGACTCTTGCTTTTTGGAAGCGGACCACCCAGCGGGGGAGGGCTAGACTTCATTATTACGTCACAAAGGGAGTGGATACATTCAGCTTTCATTTTCCTCTTAGGGGATTACAAGGTAACTGCTGCTGTCTGAGCTTGCTGTAATAGTACACAGTGTTTCTCTTACCCTCCTTGAATTGAATATAAGTGCCCAATTTAATTTTGGATGCTTTCTAAAAGAATAAGAAGAGTAAAAACAATAAGACTTTGAAAGGTGGAGCTGCTGAGTTGTCTGCTTCTGCCTGTGTACTAAAAATCTTGTTGACTGACTGTGACTGTGACCTTGATACTTTGGAATAGTTATGGCTTGTGGTGCGGATAATCCTGGGGAAAGTAAGATTGAAGATAGAAGAGGCTCCAAAGCACCAACTTTTGAAGAGGCGGTGATGCAAATGCCAACAGAAATAAGAACAGATGTCAGAGGAACCCAGCAGAATGTACAGGAGCTTAAACAAGAATTTGTAGATTTGAAAAAAAGGCATTCAAGAGGTCAAGGAAGAGGTTGCCGGTCAAGAAACAAGACTGACGGAATTGGAAACAGTGAGAGTGCCTGGTGTGGAGAGGACCCAACAGGATGTGCTTAATGTAATTGCTTTCTTACAGATGGAGGAATGGGAAAATCAACTGAGAGTGAGAGGCGCCCCCCAATTGGAACAAGATAATCTTAAGGATTGGCTAATTGAGGAGTTTGCAGCACGCTGGGATTTGGAAAAAGACGAGCTAAATTCTTGAATTGAGAGGGCCTATAGGTTTGGGCCTAAGAAAGACTCAAAAATTGCACATGACTGTATAGTGGTTTTCAAGACAAAGGAACAGAGGGACAATATTTTGGGTCTACACAATAAAAAAGCCTGAAGATTAAAGACAAGTCAATTGTTTTGTTCAAGGAGATTCCAAAACATTTTCTGAACTTAAGGAATAATTACACAGATTTGGCTGGAACTCTGAGAAGGAAGAACATCTTCTTCAGGTGGGAGTTTCCAGAGGGCCTCTCCTTCAAATTTCAAAGGAGGAAACAAAGAATTAGGACCGTTGAAGAAAAAATGAGGTTTTTTGGGGGGAAACATTAAGGAACTCAGATTGGAAAGCTCACAGACATCAGGGTTTTTTAAGAACCTGGAAACAAGACTTCTGGACTATCTGGATTACCAATTGGTTCTGTTGGGGGACCTGAATGGCATCAACACTTATGGATAGAACACAGAGACAGAACGAAATGAATGCTGGCAGATTACCAAAGGCTTTTTTTTTTAAATAGTGGATAAATTTGATCTGTCAGATATATGAGAATGAGAAATCTAACATAAAAAGACTTCACATTCTAGTCAGATGGAAATCAATCATTTTCACGAAGGGATTATTTATGGATATCTGTCATGGATGCTTTAGTTGAGATGCATTGCAGGGGTTGGACTGTTAAGGGTTTCAGAACGTACAGGGTAAACAGTTCTGAGTGACGTTCTGAATGACGTCTCACATCATGAGGCGTGGTTGAGTAACACATACGGGAGTGGTTTCTCTGTGTGTGTTCTTCTCTTCCGCTCTGTCGGAGAGGCGAGATGTGCGAGTCGTCACCGGGTGCTTAAGACTGAATTTACAATGTTATGCTACACGAATAAAGGCTGTTAGAGATAAGAGAGAAGCCTGCGTGCAAGCCTGATTTATTACCCACACACTGCAGCAGTTTTTCACCGTTGCGTATCGCTCTGCTAAACCGACCAAAGAGGCAGGAGGACGTTTCCGTGATCGGCAGGGAGCTGCATGCGCAGAGGAAGTCTGCTGGGCTCCATTTTGGCCCTCTTGGTCGCCACATGGACTAGATGACCCTACGGTCTAGTCTGTGGCTGAGGCATTGCTTTTGGTAACATAGGGAGCTGCCTCATGCCTAGGGGTGTCCGGCTTTCTTGGGGGGGGTTGGCTCTCATTGACAGATTTCAATTTCAATGTTGGCAAAAAAAAATCTGCACCGGGTACCTCCTGACCTTCTACGCCTCTGGTTCTTGGTATGGAATGAGAATGTTCTCTCAACGTCCAAAACATTCAGAGAGAAAGGAAGAAGTAACCCTGAATTTCATGTTGTTGATACATTATAAAAACTGAATGTGCTTTGTAAAGAAGAATGAATCTGGTAACGTGAAGGGCAGAAGGGAATATGTATGGTCCTCGCTGAATATTGGGAGGGGATATATTAAGGATAACATTTTAACGTTTCACAGGCATAAGGTTCACTCTTCCTCCAGTACTTAGTAGGGATAATGTTAAGGGGGGTAGAGCAGTCTGGGAAAATGGATATTGTCAAGCTTTTCTTTTCTTTCTTCTTTCTTTCTTTTGTGAAGTTTGAAGAGAATGCTAGGGTTAAAGAAGATTATATAATTACCATTATTATTCAGAGTGTTGAGAACGCATAAAGGAAGACAAATAAGTTGTATTGGAGGAAATATGATTTGAAACTATGATTGATGATTATATGTTTAGATAAAGGAAGAATAACTCAACTTAAATGTCAGGGGGCAGCCACTGGAACAAGGGAGGGAGGCAGGGGCACCGCTGGGATACAGAGAGCCACCAAACTTCTGAGGAGCAGTTCCTTGTCCACCGGTGGGGAAAGCCACACCTTCCACGGAGAAGAGAGGGAAGGGGCCAGCCAAGAGAGGAGAGGGCTTGAGGATGCTGCTGAGAGCCCAAGCGCCTCACTTAGCCCAGCTTGCGCAGAGGGGTGAAACGCAAGGAGGGGAGGAGGAGGCTTGGGGTGCCAAAGTTCTTATGTTGGGGGAGAAGCCGGAAGGGGCACTCCTGGATTCTGCAAGTGACTAAGATGGACATGAACTTTTTAGATCTGCACTGTAAATAGTTTGCACAATAAAACCTGTAAAAGACAGGTCGGAGTCCTGCCAGCTTACTCACAAGCAACCACCACCAGCATCTGACAGCAATCTGGAAGTCATTGCGGTTGCTTGCGTGTAGCAGGGAAGAGCAGCACAATGAGTCTAGAGAAGAAAGGGAGGCTGGAGGAGCGAGGAGCTGCAGGCGGAGGCGCTGAGGAAATTGTGGCATGGAAAGTAGCGACCCTGATGCAGAGGAATGTGGAGCTGGAAACTCACATCGCTGACCTCACAGCCAGGCTGGAGGAGCACAGACTGCAGGAGCAGCAAAGCAAGGCAACTCTGGTGGGGAGAAGGATTCCAGCACTGGTGAGTATATTTGGCGGGAACCCCCAAGAGTACCTTGCTTTTAAGACTGAGATTAAATATTCCCTGGACTTGCAAAAGAAGGAATTTGCAAGAAGGATGAGGATAGGGTGGCATGCCAGTTTCATGCTCGTGAGGTCGAGTTCCTGGGGTACAGGCTGTTGGATAGGGGACTTGCCATGGATCACAAGAAGGTGAAGGCTGTGTTAGACTGGACAAGCCCCAAGAAGAAGGATGTGCAAAGATTCCTAGGCTCCAGCAATTTCTACTGAAAGTTTATCAAGAACTTTGCACATTTGTCGGTGCCTATAACTGATTGTGGGAAGAAAAAGTTTCTGTGGACTAAGGAGGCGCAGCAGGCCTTTGAAAGCTTAAAGAAGGTCTTTGTGTCAGAGGAGCAGCTGTTGCATGTGGATCCTTGTGGGTGAAGACAGACGCTTCTGACAAGGCCATCGGGGCAGTCCTGTTACAACAAGACGCAGGGGGAGATTGGAGATCTTGTGCAGAACAATTCGGAGCAAAATTACACCATTTATGACAAAGAATTGCTGGCCATTTATGCGGCTTTTAAACAGTGGAGACACTTTCTAATTGTGGTGCAGCAGCAGATCCAGGTGTGGACAGACCACAATAACTTGGAACATTGGCGCACTGCGCGTGTGCTCTGTCAGAGACAGATTTGATGGGCGGAGTTTTTTTGCCAATTTTGACTTTAAGATCCACTACGTTCCTGGAGAGCAGAACGTGAAGGCAGACGCATTACCCAGGAAGCCGGAGTACATGGAAGATGAAGGGCCCCCCATGGCCAGACAAATGTTCCAGCGGAACAAATGGACCTGTGAGGGAACACTGGCAGGGGAGGCAGAACTGGTTAGACTCACCAGAGACGATGATTTTGCTCAAGGGAAATTTAGGGAGCTCAAGGAGGGATGGGAGCAGATGAGGGCTTTGAGGAGAAAGGGGGGTTGTTCTACAAAGGGGCACTGTATGTACCGGGAGAACCCTTGCAGGTCAGAGTCCTCAAGCAGCTCCATGACAACCCTACAGCTGGGCACTTTGGGCAACACAAGACCATGTTGTTAGTTACACGGGATTTCTGGTGGCCCAAGGTAAGGGAGGATGTGCGGGAGTATGTCCGAGGGTGCCACATGTGTCAAAGAGCAAAGAGGGAAAGGGCGGCCCCAGCTGGGCTGCTGGAGCCCTTACCAACACCGGGGAGACCTTGGGAGGTGGTGTCCATAGACTTCATGACGGACCTGCCCATGTCCCGAGCTAAGACAGCAGTCCTGGTGGTGGTGGACCTGCTGACCAAGATGTGCCACCTTGTGGCATGCTCCCATGCGGTGTCAGATGAGGAAACCGCCAAGTTGTTCCTGGACCACATCTTTTGGCTGCATGGGGTCCCTTCTAGGGTAATTTCTGACTGTGGAAGACAGTTCACCTCACATTTCTGGCACAAGTTCATGGGTTTGTTGCAGGTAGAGGTGAGCTTTTCCACAGTCAGACACCCACAGACTAATGGACAGGCGGAAAGAGCAAATGCCATTTTGCAGCAGTACTTGCACTGTTACATTAATTAGCGGCAGAACAATTGGGTGGAGAAGCTAGCACTGGTAGAGTTCACGTACAATAATGCTGAACATGTGTCCACAGGGAGGAGTCCCTTTCTTGCCAATTATGGGTGTCATCCCAGGGCCTTTCCAGGGCGGGAGGAGGATGAATTGAGTGTACCAGCTGCAGAACAATTCACACAAGAGATGGAGGCCATGCACCAACAGCTCAAGATGACTCTGGAAAGAGCCAAGGAAGTGTACAAGAAGGTGGCGGACAAACAGGAGACCGGGGGAGGTTATCCAGGTGGAGGACAAGGTGTGGTTGTCATCTCAGGGGCTGCCCCTGAGGGGGTGTGCAAGAAACTGCAGCCTAGGAGCATGGGTCACTTTGAGGTGACACAGCAGGTCAACCCAGTAGCGTTCAGGCTGAAGTTGCCGGATAACATGAGGATACATCCGGTGTTTCACAGGTCTTTGCTGTCGCCTTACAGGGAGGGGCACAGCTTCCTGGAGAGGGAGCAGGGAGTTCCCACCCCACCAAGCATAGAAGAAAGGGAACTATGTAATGAAGTAACTGAGATACTTGACTCTAGGTGGAAGGGACACCAAGTAGAGTACCTAGTTGCCTGGGAGGGGGCTCCCAGTTCAGAAAATGCATGGATCCCAGCAGGGTACGTGACTGAGAAGAGAAGTTCCTCACTCTTTTCCTGCACAAGCCCAAACCCCCGAAGTTGTTTTTTGGGGAAGTGTTTGGACCCACAGAGGACAAGGGGGACTACGAGGGATTCCCACCCTCAGGGGAGGGGAAGGGAATAGGGGACGAAGTTGCCGAGGTCTCTGATGAGGAGGAAACTTCCTGGGATTTTCCGCCAGGGCTGGGATGGTTGGGGGGGAGCAGTTTTTGACTCCACAGAGGAGGAGGACGATTCATTCCTCGGGTTCCCACCCTCTCCTGCCAACGCCAGTGAGTGGGAAACAGCTCTAGACCCCACCAATGGGGCAGTTTTTTTTAAGGGGGTTGGATGTCAGGGGACTGCCATCGGAACAGGGGAGGGAAGCAGAGGCACCGTTGGGATACAGGGAGCCGCCAAAACTTCAGAGGAGCAGTTCCACATCCAGTAGTGGGGAAAGCCACACCTTCCATGGAGAAGAGAGGGAAGGGGCCAGCCAAGAGAGGAAAGGGCTCGAGGATGCTGCTGAGCACCTCACTTAGCCCGGCTGGCCAGGAGGCACACACGCTACTTCCGTCGCCCAGCTTGCGCAGAGGGGTGAAACGCAAGGAGGGGAGGAGGAGGCTTGGGGTGCCAAAGTTCTTATGTTGGGGGAGAAGCTGAAAGGGGCCACTCCTGGATTCTGCAAGTGACTAAGATGGACATGAACTTTTTAGATCTGCACTGTAAATAGTTTTCACAATAAAACCTGTAAAAGACAGGTTGGAGTCCTGCCTGGTTACTCACGAACAACCACCACCAGCACCTGACATTAAATAACTGAAGAAATGTTATAGTTACGGTAAATGAAAATCTAAGCAGGAATTTGCACAGCCGGTGGAAATTGAGGAAAGGATGAGAAAAGTATGTTATTGTTTCTTTTCTCTCGTTCCTTTGCTGTTAACAACTTGAACGGGGAGTGGGAGATAATCAACTTTTAAATTTGTTGTAAATTTGAATTAATTTACCGTCAATTTCCTAAAATTTTTGGAAAATCAATAACAATTAATTGACACAAGAATTACAGCCCACTCTAGAGATCAAAAGAAGCCCTGCACAGGTCTCCCTCTCTCACCTTGGATATCTGGATGACTTGCCAGGAGGAGAAGTGCCCATTTCAGAGAACTGGTGGTTGTGGATGTCCCTGCTACAAAGAGCCCGGAAATATTAAAAGCCATGTTTTCTTCATCATAGGTGGACTCTGGGTCGTTTTTGCTCTGATTTCGAAAATGGGGAAAGTGACATGTCATTTACATGCATTACAATCTGTTCTTCAGCACTTATTTTATCTTACTCCCCCTGCTCCTATTAGCATACCACCAACACATGCTTCATGAGGGGTGAGGTGTCTTCTTACACTGCCTGAGGTGACATAGGAAGGTGCCACCTCCACTGCCCTGCTGTCACTGCCACCTCCGTTATTTTGGTTACACAGCAGTGCCACAATGTGGTAACAACAACAGTGAGGACAGTGGGATCTTGCAAGCGTTTGGTGAAATCTTGCAGGAAGCTGCCACCGCTCCACTTCTCCACTAGTGGCTGGCTAGGATGCCTCCTGTTGACATTCCACTGTCCAAGGCAGCTGCCTCAGCCTACCTCATGGGTGGGCCGGCCCTGTGCTTTGTAGCTGGTTGTGACAAAAGATCCATGCACACATTCCTGTGTACACAGCGGTAGCTGCTGGTGCTGCATTTGAGTATCTGTGGGTCGGGGTAATAATCCAACACTGGCAGGTGAAGAGGGATACAAAAGAATCTCTCTGGCAGCAGATATTCAAAATGTGCATTACTTAGCACTAAACATATTTAATCATTCTTTAGTCACCATAGAGTATTCAAAGATTGTTCCAAGGAGGCAAGATGAAAAAATATTTTGACCTTTCTAGTCTAGGAATAAATGAGGTAGGAGTTTGAAGTCATATTTAGTTTCAGAACATTTTCTTTAGAATTTGTTTGGTCCCCTGCTGATGAAAGTGAAAGTGCATCCTCTTGCTATGCATTGTAATGTGTAATGAAACAGCTGCCACAATCCACTTGGTGAGTTGGCCATTCATACTATTTGGGCATTCTTTGAGAGCCAGTGTGGAGTAGTGGTTAAGAGCGATAGACTCGCAATCTGGGGAACCGGGTTCGCGTCTCCGCTCCTCCACATGCAGCTGCTGGGTGACCTTGGTCTAGTCACACTTCTTTGAAGTCTCTCAGCCTCACTCACCTCACAGAGTGCTTTTGTGGGGGAGGAAGGGAAAGGAGATTGTTAGCCGCTTTGAGACTCCTTAAGGGAGTGATAAAGCGGGATATCAAATCCAACATTCTCACTGTTTGGGCACCACAGGCAACATTTCAGGGGTGAGTATGTTCCCATGAGGTATAACAGGGGTTTTCAAACGTATTTGCCCACTGCCCTGTTGGATCCATCAACTGATCTCCAGTGCCCACAACCCTAATAATAAAAAAATTATTCAGAATAGTGGTTTGCACAACTCACTAAGAAAAATAATAATCCAATAAATCTGGGGAAAAGTAACTCAATGTCATTTTCAACTGAGATTGGTGTCCATGGAAGAGATTAGCATTCACTTATAACAGGGAATATAATGATTCCTTGGATGAGCAGCATTCAGTTTCAAAGCAGATACTTACTTTCTCCATCTGAAGTAGATAGAAATCAATGAAATCCTGTGGATCATGCAGAGACTGATTCTCCTTATGCTTCTCTATCTCCTCCTTTGCAAATGAAAGCACCATCTCTGTGCAGGACAAGGCCTTCTTGTGGGGCCCTGGGAGATGTTTCATGAGCCATGGGAGCATTTCATAAAGCTAAAGGAAAGATAGCAGACATGCCGTCATTACCATGAGGAAGCTTGGTCATGTAGTTCATGAGTCAATTCATTTGAATTAGTACTTAAAACATGACCCCGGTTATTCTTCAGAGCTAGCACATTAGTTTGAGTCTCCCTGAGAAGAAGGTAGGAGTCTGCAGCTTCTCTTGAATCTCAGAATGACTGGTTCTGGGAAATATCTCTAGCCGAATATGTGAAAGAAAACTAGGGGTCAAAGTATTTTTCTAGCTCCCAGGCTTCATTCAAAACTGGGCACAATCCCAGGCCATTTGTTGGGAGGTGGGGGGTGGCTGGAGAATACAGATGGGGAGACATTCAAGTCAGTTCACATTTAAGAGTGAATTTGCCAAATATGCAAATTGAAACACAGCCATCCTTTGAAATGTGCAGTTCTACAAATCTTGCAATGCGGTTTTAAAATTTATCTTTCTTTATTTTATTTTATTTTGTTTTGTTTTGTTTTGTTTGTTTATGTTTTATTTGTTTTGTTTTGTTTTATTTTATTTTATTTTATTTAAGTTCCCCAGTCAAGAAATGCCCATCTCTTCCTTCAAAAATTCAAACAAAGGTGAGAACTGTTTCATAGTTCTGCTGGATCTCTCAGCAGCCTTGGACACCATTGACCGTAACATCCTTCTGGACCGTCTAGAGGGGCTGGGAGTTGGAGGCACGGTTATACAGTGGTTCCGCTCCCTTCTCGTGGGCTGTGTCAAGAAAGTAGGGGGGGTGAGTGTTCAGACCCCTGGGCTCTCACTTGTGGGGTGCTTCAGGGTTCTGTCCTCTCCCCCATGCTTTTTAATATCTATATGAAGCAGCTGGGAGAGATCATCAGGGGGTTTGGGCAGTATGCCGATCACACCCAGCTCTAACTCTCTTTTAAACCAAAACCAGTGAAGGTGGTGAAGGTCCTGTGTGAGTGCCTGGAGGAGGTTGGAGAATGGATGGCGGCTAACAGATTGAGGTTGAATCATGACAAGACAGAAGTACTGTTTTTGGGGGACAGGGGGCGGGCGGGTGTGTGGGACTCCCTGGGCCTTAATGGGGCAACTGCGCCCCTGAAGGACCAGGTGCGCAGCCTGGGAGTCATTTTGAACTCACAGCTGTCCGTGGAGGCACAGGTTAATTCTGTGTCCAGGGCAGTGGTCTACCAGCTCCACCTGGTACGCAGGCTGAGACCCTCCCTGCCCATGGACTGTCTCGCCAGAGTGCTCTAGTTATCTCCTGCTTGGTCTACTGCAATGCGCTCTATATGGGGCTACCTTTGAAGGTGACCCGGAAACTGCAATTAATCCAGAATGTGGCAGCTAGACTGGTGACTAGGAGTAGCCACCGGGACCACATAACACCGGTCCTGAGAGATCTGCATTGGCTCCCAGTACGTTTCCAAGCACAATTCAAAGTGTTGGTAAAGGTAAAGGGACCCCTGACCATTAGGTCCAGTCGTGGCCGTCTCTGGGGTTGCGGCGCTCATCTCGCTTTATTGGCCGAGGGAGCCGGCGTTTGTCTGCAGACAGCTTCCGGGTCATGTGGCCAGCATGACTAAGCCGCTTCTGGCGAACCAGAGCAGCACACGGAAACGCCGTTTACCTTCCCGCTGGAGCGGTACCTATTTATCTACTTGCACTTTGTGCTTTTGAACTGCTAGGTTGGCAGGAGCTGGGACCGAACAATGGGAGCTCACCCCGTCGCAGGGTTTCGAACTGCCGACCTTCTGATCAGCAAGTCCTAGGCTCTGTGGTTTAACCCACAGCGCCACCTGCGTCCCTCAAAGTGTTGGTGCTGACCTTTAAAACCCTATACTGCCTTGGTCCAGTATACCTGAAGGAGCGTCTCCACCTCCATCATTCGGCTCGGACACTGAGGTCCAGTGCCAAGGGCCTTCTGGCGGTTCCCTTGCTGGGAGAAGTGAGGTTACACGGAACCAGACAGGGGGCCTTCTCAGTAGTGGCACCTGCCCTGTGGAATGCCCTCCCTTCAGATGTGAAGGAAATAAGCAGCTATCTTATCTTTAAAAGACATCTGAAGGCAGCCCTGTTTAGGGAAATTTTTAATGTGTGACATCTTAGTGTATTTTTTGTCTTTGTGGAAGCCGCCCAGAGTGGCTGGGGAAACTGAGCCAGATGGGCGGGGTATAAATAATAAATTATTATTATTATTATTAAACATTTAAGAAGGGAGCTTTTCCTCTTTCCTAGTTTTCTCATGAAAGATAAATTACTTACATTTTCTGAATAAGCCTCTCTAGCAAACACTTTGGAGGTTGGGTCTCTTCCATAGCCTTTCCTTGCAATAACTTTGTTCCCAATAACAAATAATATTAAATAAGACAAATACATATCCTGGGTTTGCATCATGGCAATCTGAGGTGAGAGGGCGGAGAAAAGAGCCGATCCCCATATAAATAAATGCTAGCCAAGAGGTCTCAGGGTAATGAGAAGGAGGAGGCAAGGAAGAGGCAGGAGAGAGAGAAGGGGGAGGCAAGGGCTAATTCATTTCCACATACCAAGGTTTGAACGGGACATTTGAAGAAGAATGTGGTGAATTTGACAAGGCTCTGGGTGAAATTGATCAGGAGGAGGGAGGCAAAGCATGCCTCTCAACACAGTTCCGCTTGAGATTTTCTTTGGCAGGTAAAAACATATATTATTTTAACAGAAGCCAGTGAGGGAGGGATGTGGAGCACAGCAGGATGGGAAGGAGAAGTGTTAAAGTTTGCCTTTTGGTGGCTCGTTGCAGCCAGCAGAAAAAAAGGGGACAGAGAAACACATTACAGTTAAGAAAGAGAAAGGAAAGAGGGGAAATCATCTGATGTCTTGCCTCCCCACGGCTCCAACATCATGAGAGAGCCTGTCATAGTAGCATCTGGTCACATCCAGGGCCACAGGCTGCCTGGCTCCACCCATGCTATGCCATAGTGGAATTCCCTTCCTGAGAATATTATTTTGCTCACTTCTGCTCATTTATGTGGGCTATAGATGACTTGTTCTGAAGGCCATTGTTCCATTTCTAGCCTGTCTTTCCTCCAAAAAGTCCCAACTTGTGGACCTAGTTTCATTACTCTCTCTTTTATATTCATGGTAAGAAATTGATTAGGCTGTAAAATAGCCCTTATCTCAGATTAGATTTAAACCTCATCTCACTTCTCCAACAGTCTATCCTCTATCATAATGGAATCCAGAATGCTGAGTGGGAAATGTAAAGGCCCCTGGAGACTTCTCTGAATCAGCAGGAATGAAAATGACTACTCACAGCATGAACGAAGCTTCCTATAAATTTTAGGGAGAAATTCATGGCTTCTATCAGCTTCTGGAACCTTTCATCTTCAAGAGCAAACCGGTGCCCAAAAGCCATAGCACATATCACGTTGGAGACTGAATTAGTGATGGGCATGGAGGGGTCAAGTGGTTGCCCTGCAAAATAAAGTTCTACTAATGTGAGTTCAGCTGCTCCTGTTCATACTGAGAGTGGGAATTTCATGGTGGCCAAGAGAAACTGCTGGGATCTCCATTAAAGGTAAAGGTAAAGGGACCCCTGACCATTAGGTCCAGTCGTGGCTGACTCTGGGGTAGCGGCGCTCATCTCGCTTTATTGGCCGAGGGAGCCGGCGTACAGCTTCCGGGTCATGGGGCCAGCATGACTAAGCCACTTCTGGCGAACCAGAGCAGCGCACGGAAATGCCGTTTACCTTCCCCCCGGAGCGGTACCTATTTATCTATTTGCACTTTGACGTGCTTTTGAACTGCTAGGTTGACAGGAGCTGGGACTGAGCAACAGGAGCTCACCCCGCTGTGGTGATTCGAACCGCCGACCTTCTGATCAGCAAGTCCTAGGCTCTGTGGTTTAACCCACAGCACCACCCGTGATCTCCATTAGGAACCAAGAAAAACATATCACATTCCTTTCTAAAATGGACAGAGGTAGTACACAAATATATCTTCATATGCCAGCTCAGCACCATCACCTAGCATCACATACCCTTTGAACGTGCAAAAACCTCCACGAGCTGATGCGCCTCCTCTGCTACTTGCTGCTCCATGCCTTTCTTCCCCAGTCCCAGCTTCCGCATAGTAACCACACCAAAGCGTCTCTGTTGCCTCCAGGTGTGCCCATTGGAAAATGGAATACCTATGGAAAATCAGTGAGAAATTCTTCTTTACAGAAATTAATGATACAATTAAGTTACCATCCAAGAAGAAATGGAAGTTCATGCCCTTGAATGTGCAAGCTATTCAGTATCTCAAGATTACAATTACAAGACGATGTGGAGTCTGTCTCTATGTATTTAGCGGGTATCTCTGCAATATAGGCCAGCACTATTTGCTTCACACAATGCCTAACAGAATCTCACTTTCTATTTCCTGTCGTCATTCAGAAAATTATTAGTGATTCACCCAAATGTTTTGGTTATTTGTTGGATAATAGAACAGAAATCAGGTGGTCCCAGAAGGTCCCTGCATAAAATGAGAGATCTCTGGACAGCTCTGCCAATTTCTGCCATAAAGACTGAACCTGCAGATATCACATGAGTTTTCTCATAGCGGTAAACACCTGCTGTTATTTTCAGTCACAACCCCAATTCAGCTAAGTTTTCCACACTATTTTTAAAGATATAATTTGGCTGATGTGTGATGTCAACAAGTTATTTTTCTACTGGCCAAGCCAGACTGGGATTTTATTGAGGATGTATTCTGCAGCATATTCTTGACATGACAGTAGTGCATTGATGGTCAATTTATTCTGCTTTGTTAGTTCTGTGACGCTTCCTGAATGCTACCACATTATTACTGTGTGGGGAAGCTATATAACAGGGAAAGCAGGACAATACTGTAACAAGTTTGTGCATTTGTGGTTTTCAGCAGGAAGTTAAGCGATATGACTGAATGGAAAATTAACCAGTATGACAACCTCAAATTCTTTGCAGGCACAATTGAAAATGGAGTTGGATATAACACCCTTGAAAGAATTGAGCACAAATCATTATGAATGATCAATACAAAGTTTACTGGAGGATGCCTAAGCTAGGCTTTCCATATGTTGGGTTAAAAGTCTGATCCATAGTTAAAAGTAAAAGGTAAAGGTAAAGGTACCCCTGCCCGTACGGGCCAGTCTTGCCAGACTCTAGGGTTGTGCGCTCATCTCACTCTATAGGCCGGGAGCCAGCGCCGTCTGCAGACACTTCCGGGTCACGTGGCCAGCGTGACAAGCTGCATCTGGCGAGCCAGCGCAGCACACGGAACGCCGTTTACCTTCCCGCTAGTAAGAGGTCCCTATTTATCTACTTGCACTTTGACATGCTTTCGAACTGCTAGGTTGGCAGGCGCTGGGACCGAGCGACGGGAGCGCACCCCGCCGCAGGGATTCGAACTGCTGACCTGATGATTGGCAAGTCCTAGGCGCTGAGGCTTTAACCCACAGCGCCACCCACGTCCCTACATGGTTAAAAGTAGAAGTTGGCAAATGTGTCCTCTTTTTTGTCTTCCAAATATGGCAACCCTAGACTCTTAATAAGACGGTATCTTCAGAAGACCGTCACCTGCGGAGTATGATGATTGACGATGTATAAAGGGAATGAGATGATCTTGCAGGTATCTTGAACCCAAGTTGTATAGACCTTTCTACACCCAAACCACCTCCTTGAACTTATCCCAGTAGCTAATTGGCAGCCAGTGGAATTCTTTCAACAGTGGCGAAAATGTTGGCTATATCCTGCCCACATGAACAGTTGATCCACTTCATTTTTCACCCTGATTAACCTCAAGGGCAGCGCCAAATACAGCACATTGCAGTAATCTAGACTGGAGGTTGCCAAACCTGGTCCAGAAACCACCTTAGCTATCTTACTAGTCAAAGCTGCCTTGCCTGATGAAGGTGGTAGAAGGCCGTGAGGTCACCTGGGCCTCAGGCAACAAAGATGGATCCAGACGCACTTCTAGACTATGAGCTGGTTCTCTCAGGTGAAGTGCAGCCCTATCCATAGCAGGCAACTGACCAATTATCTAGACTCAAGAACCACGCACCTAACATGCCTCCATCTTACCAGGATTCAGACTCACTTTATTGGTCCTCATTTAACCCACCACCTTATCCAGCGCATGCAGAGCTTGCATGGGTTCTCCCGATTCAGATGTTATAGAGCAATAGAGTTGAGCATCATCAGGGTGTTGACGACATCTTGCCCCAAATCTGCTAATCACTGCTGCCAAAGGCTTCATGCAGAAGTTAAAACGAATTGGGGACCAAATGGTAAACTGTGACAAACCAGAGCATAACTGCCAAGGGATTGAAATACAAGCACCCAGTTCTATTCTATGAAACTGACCTGGAGAGAAGATCAGAACCACTGTGCAAAATAGAATTGCCAGTGAGCAGCCTCTCCGTTCTGAGGAGGTGACTAAGACTAAATTGGGTGCCAAGCTGGCACCAACACTGTCTCCTTCATTAAGGACATAGAGGTGCCAGGTATGAACAAACCTTGCAGGCCCAACCCATTTGAAGGAGTGCCCACTTGCTTCCCAGTCGTTGGATGCCAGTCACCCACCTCAATCTCCAAAAGGAAGGTGTGAGGGATGTATCACTAGTTGGATCAACATCTTAGCTAGCATTTAGCTGTGTGTCTATTACCTCTTATGTACCTATTCCACCTTGTAAGCTGTGTCTTGGCAATGTTCTGATCTGATGTAGGCATCAAAGCCTTCAGCAGAAAGAGCAGAGAGTTCAAGCCCTTCATCCAGCGCTGAGGGCCAGGACAGTCAATGCATTGCAACTGCAACAGGAAACAAGCTTCTACCTGCAGTTCAGTCTAACCACAGTGCAGTACAATTCTGACTTCCATAAAGCACTTGTTAGAGTACACTAATGGAAATTAATAGACCCACATTAGCCATGCCCATTAATTTCAGTGGGTCTTCTCTGATAAGAACTGGCACTGCATAAAACCCCTATTTCCTGTTCAGTACAACATGAATAGAAAACCTTTGTTCTCTTTTTCCAGACAGCCACTTAAATGTTTTCTTCGGGGAAGTACCAGCAGAAATTCTCATTCTTCACTACTTACCCTTTCCGTTTGCTATAGTCATAAGGAAAGGAGTCTGTGGTCGGTCTTCAAGTTCTTCAGAGTGGTCAATGAGCGCTTCTTTCACTGCTTGGAATCCAGACACTATTATGAAGGGTTGATATCCTGCCCAAAGGGTGTAAATGTTTCCATATTGCTTTGCCATCTACCATTTGGGTCAAAAGAGAGAAGAGGAATGCTATGTTCAGATAGTTATTTCAACCGAATATGTGAGCTTCAGCCTTCCTCACCTCTTAAGCATCTCACTATATTCTCTTCTCTTGCCAGCAACTCCTTTTCTTTCATTCATTCCTTCCTTCATTCCAACCCATTTGTTTTACTCCCTCCCATGGTGGGTCACAAGAGCAGAGGCGTAGCAAGTCAGGTGGTACCTGGTGCAGAATTTCTTTTGTCACCCCCGCACATTGAAATTTTTGGGGAAGGTTACCCAAAGTTGTGGTAAGGAATTAAGAAGAGGATGGAGTTAAGTGGTAAGGAATTAAGAAATACCTCTCTGAGTAATTTGGCTTATAAATGTATTAAACAAACAAACAAATTAAATAAAATATTGTCTCGTGTCTTCCCTGGCTACATACGAGCTACAAAAGTCCCATGGCTTTCCTGGGAATAGATAATGATCTCCTGCTACACTGCCAAGTGAACTTGGTGTCCATTCATCTGTTGGAAGAGGAGAAGTGCATAGCATTCTGGGCCATGTTGCATCACACATGGGAAGAGTGGGAGGACAAGCTCCAGAGTATATTGCAATAAACTATTTCATCAGCTCAACTGTTTGTTTTGTGTGGTGTCTTTCAGATTTAAGCGTCCTTCATCCTGCAGATACAAACAATTTTTTGCATTTTCTCTACGAGAATTGTTGACTAGTAAGTGGTAGCAGGATCAGCCTGTGCACCTTTCCTGTCTCAGTGCCATTAGTCTCACAGCTGCAGCTGGTGCTTTCAAATGACTCTCTGATGCTGGTTTCACAGACCTGGCCTTTTGCTCTTGCTGGGAGTATTACCTGGAGATTAGCATTTACTGCAGAGATGCAATTTGCTGTATTAGTCTTTGAATTGCTCTTTTAAAAAAGTGTTTGTATTTCCAATGAACAAGATGAAGACTTTTCCAGGCTTAACATCTTGAATAGCATACGCAGGTCTGCAACAGATACAGATAAGTGCTGCCATGAATGAATGCAGAGTGATCTTTGTGCTCACTCTTTTTAAAATGCATTTTCTTATGTGTTTGTGGTCAGTGCTGTGGGGTTTCTTTTTTTATATAATGTTCATATACACCAGAAGTGATGGCCCTAGAAGATTTGAAGGAATGGAGGTAAAGAACGCCAAGGAAGCACATAACATGTAACAGTATACACAGTGGCATATGAAGAGGGGCCAGAGGGGGCAGGTCACCCCGGGTGCCACCCTGGGGGGGTATCAAGATGGGCCACTGCCTCCCCCCAGCTGTGGAGTGGCGAAGGGACGCAAGCAGTCAGTATGGGCGCCACTTGCGGCATCCGTATGAGCTGCCACTCACGCACGGTGTCCATATGGGCTGCTGTCCGTGCGTAGTCTAATCAGGCTGCCAGGCGGTTCGCCTCGCCCTGCCCCTTGGCATACTGCCCAGGGTGACGAAGAGGGTTCCTCCACCACTGACTATGCAACAACTTACCTATTCAATTGTGATATAGAAAAAATAGGGGTGGTTGGCTTTTGCTGCCCAACTGCCCAAGGGACTGAGTCCCCCAAGTCCATGATGGGTAAGAGATGACTGGCTGGAGGGAGGGTGCAGTGAAAGCAAGGCAGATCTTTATTTTTTCCGTTGCAACAGAGTTCCCTCCACTCCTTGTAAGGAGACAAGAGAGACCCAGAACCAAAAAGAAACATCTCTCCTAAGGATTTGCATTTTGGTGTGGAGACGGAGGACCTCCCCTCTACAAACAGTCAGAAATTACATCACACACAAGGTGGGGTTACTGTGGTTGAGGCAAGCCAAGATATGATATTCCTGAGTATTTAGCAAGTTTTACATAGTTCCAGACACAGTTTACACAAAACATTAGCATTTGATATGCCTTTCAGACATCGCTCAATGCAGAGCATCTGGGCAAACAATGACAATTAATACAAAGGAGATTCATTGATATAGGAGAGGAATCCCTTCAGGAACTTTCCTTGACTGCTATCTGCCTACGTGTTCTCAGACAAGGGGGATTAAGGAGGCAGAGGAAATACTGAGAATCTTTAGGAGAGCCAAAATGACTTTTGGATTGCTCCCCTGTACTATTTTAGACAAGTGGTTTATATACTTACGTAAGTGTGTTTTAAAAGATGATGCTGTTATGGTGCTACCCTCAATATGCCAGCAAGTTTGGAAAACTCAGCAGTGGCCAGAGGATTGGAGAAGATCAGTCTACATCCCAATCCCAAAGAAGGGCAGTGCCATAGAATGCTCCAACTACCGCACAATTGCACTCATTTCACACGCTAGTAAGGTTATGCTTAAAATTCTACAAGGCAGGCTTAAGCAGTATGTGTACTGAGAACTCCCAGAAGTGCAAGCTGGATTTCGAAGGGGCAGAGGAACCAGAGACCAAATTGCAAACATGCGCTGGATTATGGAGAAAGCTAGAGAGTTCCAGAAAGACTTCTACTTCTGCTTCATTGACTATGCAAAAGCCTTTGACTGTGTCAACCACAGCAAACTATGGCAAGTTCTTAAAGAAATGGGAGTGCCTGATCACCTCATCTGTCTCCTGAGAAATCTCTATGTGGGACAAGAAGCTACAGTTAGAACTGGATATGGAACAATTGATTGGTTCAAAATTGGGAAAGGAGTACAACAAGGCTGTATAATGTCTCCCTGCTTATTTAACTTCTGCGCAGAATTCATCATGCGAAAGGCTGGGCTGGATGAATCCCTAGCCGGAATTAAGGTTGCCGGAAGAAATATAAACAACCTCAGATATGCAGATGACACAACCTTGATGGCAGAAAGCGAGGAGGAATTAAAGAACCTTTTAATAAGGGTGAAGAGGCGAGCGCAAAATACGGTCTGAAGCTCAACATCAAAAAAACTAAGATCATGGCCACTGGTCTCATCACCTCCTGGCAAATTGAAGGGGAAGAAATGGAGGCAGTAAGAGATTTTACTTTCTTGGGCTCCATGATCACAGCAGATGGTGACAGCAGCCACAGCAAAATTAAAACACGCCTGCTTCTTGGGAGAAAAGCAATGACAAACCTAGACAGCATCTTAAAAAGTAGAGACATCACCTTGCCAACAAAGGTCCGTAAAGTTAAAGCTATGGTTTTCCCAGTAGTAATGTATGGAAGTGAGAGCTGGACCATAAAGAAGGCTGATCGCCGAAGAATTGATGCTTTTGAATTATTGTGCTGGAGGAGACTCTTGAGAGTCCCATGGACTGCAAGAAAATCAAACCTCTCCATTCTTAAGGAAATCAGCCCTGAGTGCTCACTGGAAGGACAGATCCTGAAACTGAGGCTCCAATACTTTGGCCATCTCATGAGAAGAGAAGACTCCCTGGAAAAGACCCCGATGTTGGGAAAGATGGAGGGCAAAGGAGAAGGGGACGAGAGAGGACAAGATGGTTGGACAGTGTTCTCAAAGCTACCAGCATGAGTTTGACCAAACTGCGGGAAGCAGTGGAAGACAGGAGTGCCTGGCGTGCTCTGGTCCATGGGGTCACAAAGAGTCGGACACGACTAAACGACTAAATAACAACAACAACATGTGTGTTTTCCTTGTTTAATTATCAACATTTATTCTATTTTTTAGACCTTAGAATTCCTATAACAATTGGTAATTTCTGAATGCACATTTTCAACTTTTGTATGGTTTTGTACTAATGCCCTTGTAAGTAACACAGCAGGAGTGCTTGGAATGAACAAATTTAGATTACCTAGTTCACTGTATTTATTAAAAAATATATGTTTATTTTGTATAATTTTTCATTTATTAAATTTTTATTTAGCTACTTTTTCTTGACCTTACTACACATGAAAGTAGTTTATAAAAATTCTGTGTGACCTGAATATGAATGACGCTTCTCTCGCAATGGAACATTGGGGGATTTTTAATTAAATTCAGTTTCAGTAAATGTAGGGGTTTCATCACATTTTATTCTGTGCTTGTTTGTGGCCATGACATTTACTGTTTTAACCCTCACTATTGTTTAAGCTTAAATATCATAGTTGTTAAGGGAAATAGATAAAACAATTGTTCATATTAGGGTTGTGTTAGAAATAAGTACCTTAATAAAAGTATCATCACGAAGCTTCACCCCAATCCGCCACACGCCTCCAATGAGAGGAAGCTGGAGAGGTCCAGGAGGATAGTGCCTATTTGACCAGAGCTGTTTCAGGAAGTGCAGAATCAGAAGAACCACCAGCAGAGCAATAAAAAATGCCCCTATTTCCATCCTTCTCTTGCTTTCAATTTCTCCTTGATACCTTTTAGGATTCCTGGTTAAGTTCAACACTCTTTCTCTAAGGAGATCTTGCTTTCCTCAGAGAAATCAACATTTCTCTCTCTTTATATACTCTCTTGTTAAAAAGAAATAAGCAACAAATGTTCTGACATCATATCCAAGTAACCTTGGACTGTGATCCCAAGTCATGTGCTACAGTCAAACACTATAAACATTCTTACATGTGTCACTCAGGTGACAGGAAGTCTGATTAATATGAATTGCAATTAGAATTTTGGCTAGTGTAAGACTGATTTGTGCTAGAAACATTGGGAAAATATGTACCATACATTCATGAAATAAAATTGCATATGGAAAAGGCAAATGCCCATGGGAAGCCCTCAGCCCTCATGGCAATAGCCCTTAATATAGCTATTAATGATAAATTAACACATGCTATTAAGGTAAGACGGGGAATATGCAGGAGATACGGAACATGTTTGCAGAATTTGTGCTGCTAAAACAGAAAGGGGTCAAACTATCACAAGAGGCGTTGAAATTTTGGGAGGTTGGATAGTTATAATGGAATGGTCTCGGGGGTAGGGTGCACATTTTTATTCTTATTTATTATCACTTTGCCAAAATAGAAAATAAAATTATTTTTTTAAAAGTAGCTGCTGCTGCCCAAGAAAGACAAACGGCTGTTGCGCAGTGGTAGGACATGAATTGTACGTGCAAAAGACCCAGCATCTCAAGGTCGGGCTGGACATGTTCTCTAAAGAAGAAAGGAGGAGGAGGAGGGAGGAGGAGTTTGCGGTGAGTTCTATTTTTCTAGAAAAATAGTACTGTGTCCTATCCATGGCATCTCCGGGTACAACTGGGAGACAGTCTCGTCTGAAGTTCTGGATAGCCACAGCCAGTCAATGTAGATAAGACTGAGCTAGATGGAACAATGGTCTGATTTGGCATAAGGCCAAATCCTATGTTCAGAATGCTAGGGAGTTATTTTTAAACTGCAATATTAGGTGCTCAGCTAAAATGTATACCACATATCAGCAAAGGTACCACCAGGGCTAAGAAGGTGCCAGCATGCTTAACAAGCAACATCGAATAAGTTATCAGAAGCAAGTAGTATTCCTTCAGAGCATGGTAATCCCATCCAAATAAGAAGAAGAAAAGAGAGCACAAATTTTGCCACAAGTTTCTCTGGAACACAAATGGGCACAGTGGGAACCAGGGGGCATACAGTCGAAAGGAGTGTAGTAGTGAAAGTCTGGTTCATCTGCCAGAAAACCTCCCACCGCCAGTGCAAAGCATCCGCTGTCCAAAGTGCAGTAATTTGGGGAAGGTTTTTTCACCATTTACTGGATTATCCTCAGGCCAGCGAAATCCAAATTCATTGGAGGAAATGTACAAGATCACAGTTCTTTTTCCCCTCTTTGTTTTAAAATTTTGCTTTATTGTTCATTTATACCTATAGTATACAACATGAAATCATAATCATCTTCTTCAGTCAAATAAACATATCATTGATTACCAAAGTTACATTAAATTTCGCTATGTATTTTCTTCATGAACATATAACTTCCCATCCTCTCCATACAGCTATCCTTTTAGAATCATAGAATCATAGAGTTGGAATAGACCACAAGGGCCAGCGAGTCCAACCCCCTGCCAAGCAGGAAACACCAGCAGAGCACTCCTGACATATGGTTGTCAAGCCTCTGCTTAAAGACCTCCAAAGAAGGAGACTCCACTACACTTCTTGGCAGCAAATTCCACTGTCAAACAGCTCTTACTGTCAGGAAGTTCTTCCTAATGTTTAGGTGGAATCTTCTTTCTTGTAGTTTGGGTCCATTGCTCCGTGTCCGCTTCTCTGGAGCAGCAGAAAACAACCTTTCTCCCTCCTCCTTTTAATTACATATAGTATATAATTTTGTCATTGTTACTTAATAAACCATCTGTGGCGATCACACAGGGTCCCCGGACATTTCACATCTGACTGGTTATAAATCAAGGAATTCATCAATGGTAGAGAGTACTGCTTCCTTGATGGGAGAGTTGAAAACCTTCTTTGCCCGATTTGAGGTGACACCAACAGTGACTTCAACAGGGATGCCAGAGCTATTGGCGTCACTACCTACAGGAAATGCTGCCAGGGTGGAAGAGGGAGAAGTGAGGCAAGTACTAAAGGAGGTAAACACGAGGAAGGCTATGGGCCTGGATGGGGTGGCTGGCAGGGTGCTAAGAGATTGTTCGGACCAACTGGCAGGAATTTTTACGAAGATTTTTAACCAGTCTCTGGCCCAAGCCACTGTTCCACCCTGTCTGAAATCCGCTACCATTATACCCCTGCCAAAAACATCAAAGATAGGCAGTCTGAATGATTTTCGCCCTGTGGCGTTGACACCCATTATAATGAAATGTTTCGAAAAACTGGTGAGGAAGCGCATCTTATCTTGTCTGCCAGTGGGACTTGACCCTTACCAGTTTGCGTACAAGGCAAAGAGATCCACAGAGGATGCTGTGGCAATGGCTTTACATGCTGTCCTGACTCATTTGGAGAAGCAAAGGAACTACGCGAGACTGTTATTTGTAGACTTTAGTTCTGCATTTAACACTATTCTTCCGCATAGATTGGTGCCCAAATTATTAGATCTAGGACTTCCACCATGTTTGTGCAGGTGGATATTAGATTTTCTATTAAACCATTCCCAAAGGGTCATGTTGAGTTCCCATGTCTCTGCAGATCTCATCACGAATACGGGGACGCTGCAGGGGTGCGTGTTGAGCCCGCTTTTATATACGCTCTATACAGCTGACTGTGCCCCCAAATACCCCAGTAATAAGATAATTAAGTTCGCAGATGATACAACGGTGGTTGGTTTAATCACAGCTGGAGAGGGGGAGGCGGCCTATAGGAAGGAAGTTGGGCAGTTGGGGGAGTGGTGCAGGAAAAACAATTTACTCCTAAACTTAAAGAAAACAAAAGAGATCATTGTGGACATTAGGAAATGTAAATTGAATATTCAGCCACTTATTATTGAGGGGAAGTGCGTGGAACAGGTCTCAGTGTTTCGATTTCTGGAAATGGAGAGAGAATAATTGGGTGCACTCTTCCCACCTTAGATCAAATCTATGCTGCTAGGTGCCATAAGAAAGCGGCAGGGATAGCACAGGATAGTACGCACCCCAGAAATGATCTCTTTCAGCTTCTGTCTGGATCTTGATCTTGTTGTTCTTCCCAATTCATGCAAAGTAAGTCCAGGGGCCCTTTTACATCCCAGCAATAATTCAAATGGGCTAAACCCAGTACTTTCTTAGGGTACATCCCTATATGCATACAGTAGTGGTTGTATCTTGTCATCCCAATTACTGGGATTTTCGGCAGTATAGGTTTTAATCATTCTCATTAGGGTTCCATTAAATCTTTCAACTAATCCATTAGTTTCAGGGTGGTTAGGTGTTGATGTTAAATGCTTAATACCACACAATTCCCATAGCCTTTTCATTAGTCTTGATGTGAAAGAAGAAGTCAAGTCAGTGACCAAGGACTAGATGGGGCCTTTCTTGCCTGGTCCAGCAGAGTTCCTCTTATGCTTTTCTACTCTTATTAAAGGTAAAGGTAAAGGTACCCCTGCCCGTACGGGCCAGTCTTGCCAGACTCTAGGGTTGTGCGCTCATCTCACTCTATAGGCCGGGAGCCAGTGCTGTCTGCAGACACTTCCGGGTCACGTGGCCAGCGTGACATCGCTGCTCTGGCAAGCCAGGGCAGCACACGGAACACCGTTTACCTTCCCGCTAGAAAGCGGTCCCTATTTATCTACTTGCACCCGAAGGTGCTTTCGAACTGCTAGGTTGGCAGGCGCTGGGACCGAACGACAGGGGCGCACCCCGCCGCAGGGATTCGAACCGCCGACCTTTCGATCGGCAAGTCCTAGGTGCTGAGGCTTTAACCCACAGCGCCACCTGCGTCCCATACTCTTATTAAGCAACGGCAAAAATAAATGTGCAAGCAACTGACACCTTCACATGGCCAACAGCATGCTGCCATCCGGTTTGAATATTGTGAGATGGGTTTTACACTAAAAGGAATAAAAGTGTCTATTTTAATCAATGACAGAAGTTTGAGTAAAGTAGGACTAGAGGGACACTGAGAGGAAAATGGTGCTTTTAAACAAAATCAGAGGTTTGCATTGCCACGGGGAATAGCACAGAGTTTATAAGGATGTGGATGTGTTGTAGCCCCTAGTAAAGGCTCTTGATTGAGTTCTTTCACTCCTTCTGGCAGCTGGAAGCTGAATTTTCTCAGCAAGCTGGTCAGGAAGATGAAGATTTCGATCTTTGCCAGCTGCATTCCCAAACACATGCGAGACCCTGAAGAGGAGACACGGGAAAGTCAGCAACTGAGTAATAATGTACTTTTCAGTGTCAATTACTTTGCAGCTATAAAACATGCTATATAATACTTTGGAGAACTAGACATAGGAAAGTGAAATAAAGAAGAAGAAGAAGAAGAAGAAGAAGAAGAAGAAGAAGAAGAAGAAGAAGAAGAAGAAGAAGGAGAAGAATTAATACCCCACCCATCTGACTGGGTTTCCCCAGCCACTCTGGGCAGCTTCCAACCAAATATTAAAAACATGATATAGCATTAAGCATTAAAAACTTCCCCAAACAGGGCTGCCTTCAGATGTCTCCTAAAAGTATTATAGTTGCTTATTTCCTTGACATCTGCTGGGAGGGTGTTCCACAGGGCAGGCATCACTACCGAAAAGGTCCTCTGCCTGGTTCCCTGTAACCTCACATCTTGCAGTGTGAGTTCGCCAGAAGGCCCTCGGCGCTGGATCTCAGTGTCCGGGCTGAGCGATGGGGTTGGGGACGCGCCTTCAGGTATACTGGGCTGAGACACTTTGGGGCTTTCAAGGTCAACACCAAAACTTGGAAACGGACTGGGAGCCAATGTAGGTCTTTCAGGACGAGTGTTATATGGTCTTGGCGGCCACTCCCAGTCACCAGTCTAGCTGCCGCACTCTGGATTAATTGCAGTTTCCAAGTCACCTTCAAAGGTAACCCCACGTAGAGCATGTTGCAGTAGTCCAAGCAGGAGATAACTAGAGCATGCACCACTCTGTGGAGACAGTCTGTGGGCTGGTAGGGTCCAGGGAGTCTTCCACACCCACCCGCCCCCTGTCCCCCAAGAACGGTACTTCTGTCTTGTCACGGTTCAACCTCAGTCGGAAGTGGGATAGTTTAACTGCAGACTACAGTTCTGAATATAGTTTCATAGCAGGCTAAATTACATTCCATGAAAAGAGGTGGGGGAGCTTTAGCCTTGTCACCTGAAAAGAAGTTGGATGCATCAAGCAGTGACGTGTGACAGGGAGCGACAGCACCCGGGTGCTGGCAGTGTTACCTCTCTCAGGGACAGGGCAATGGGGTTGCAAGTGTGAAGTGTGAACCCCATAAGAGTTTGGGTACCTGTGAGTCCAAAATCAGCCACCCAGAAATTCCCTAAATTATCAACAGCCTTGCCCCATCCTGCTGACCAGCAGTGCCACTCCTGCCAAGGGGATATTGCATCCATTCTGCCCTACTCTCTTGCTGCTGCTGATGTCATTTCCTGGAAGCCAACCAATAAGCATGTCTATAGACCACAAATCAGCTTGGACTTTTGCATTCACCTGCACCAAATGGCAGATATTCTTCTCTGTCCACAAATTGTCCATTCTTGTCCAAGAAATGATTCGGGTTGAACTCTGCAGGAGTCTCCCATCGTGTTGGATCAAGAAGAACAGAGCGCAGATCAAAAAGAACGGCAGTCCCCTGCAAATAAGAAAGAATTAACTTGGAATGCATTCAGATCAACACATTCCAGGATTCTCCCTCACTCTCCCAGGACGAATCTTTGCAGAGTTCAAACTGAATGGAGTTTTGAGGGGACAGGTTGGTATTTAACAGTGGCCATATTCATCCTCAACTTCTTTCTATTAAAAAAAATATTTCTATACAAGCAGAAACACAGCAGGGCCTCCCCCAACACCTGTTTCAAAAAGGCCTCGCTGAGACCTTTGGCCACTGCATGCTCCTCTGAGGTGCCACATGGCCCCAGGAATAGCACTAGTGAAACATGTCTGCAGGTGGAACTCCTGTTTTAGACTACACAGGAAGTTTCTGCATGGCTGGGGGCATCTCTGAATATGCAACCTACTCATAGACTCTTGGGATACAGGCGTGCAGCTGTATCACTCTTCTTTACCTTGGGAAAGAGAAAACCACGCATCTTCACATCCTTTGTACATTGCCTAGGAGACCCGAAAAATACGGCATATTTAAAGCGCTGCATTTCATGAATCACAGCATTGGTGTAGGGCAGCTTCTTCGTATCTTGATAGCAGATTGTGTGAGGAGAACCTAAAGCATCTTCTATCTCCTTGTGGACTTTATCTGAAGAAAATTATGGAAACAGAAGCTTTATTTTGAATAAATAAACTTCATTCTCCCCCCAGTACTTGGCATGGGCAGTGTTAAAGGGCTAGAGCAGTAGCCAGAAGATCAAATGGAAAACAGATAATCCAAAGTTTGTTTTGTTTAAAGGGAACTACATAACAAGGAAGATTAGGAGCCTCACCAATTGTTGGGGTGGATCTACACGGGGGGGGGGGGACTGGGACCACTATAAATAAGTCAGTAATTAAATCGTAACAAAAGAAAAGAAAAAGCTATGTAAAAATTGCATAGAAGGAAGGAAGGTAGAGGGGGCGCACCGCTCCGAGTACCATCCTGAAGGGGGCGATATTTGGCACGCGGCCGCTCACCCCGTAACTCCCAAGCCAACGCCAGCACAAGTGGCAAAGCATCGGCACCCACTGTCCCCCTGCCTGCCTCCCCAGCTCACTGCAAGGTGGGCCAGGTCCTGCTCTCCCTGCCCGTCTATGTCCCATCCTTAAAGGCTCCTGCGGAGGTGTAGCTGCGCCCCCCCCCCCCGGCGCCATCACGTCCAAAGAGTCTTTGCAGGGCTTGCCTGAGTATGTTGCTTTTGGTTTCCCCGCAGCCCTCATTTAAAAGCCTGCCGTGTGCAGGCCAAGGTCTTTGCTGCTTTTGTTGGGGGATTCAATGAGCTGTAAATTATCCCGTGAGTTTTACTTGGCAAACTGGGGGGGAAACCCTGGGAGTTTTCTTCTTCTTTTGTCTTTGCGCTCCAGTACTCAAGGGGTGGTGGTGGAAATGAATTGCTGAGAGGAGAATCGCATTGTTCTGTTCTTTGTGTTTTTTTAACTCTGGGAGGAGTGCGGTTTGCCACCCGATTTTGTTTTGCTTTTTCCCCTCTGGAAGGGCGTCCAAGGATTTCCTGTGTTTACTCCTGAGTAAGCAAACTTTGGATACAACCCAGTAAGTTTTGCTAATAGGAGAGGAAAATACATATTCCCCCACAATGCCGTTTTAGCAGTTTCTGTTGTGTCTCTAGGCTCATCCTCGCCTGTTGTCTTCTTCTGCTTATTTTTTTAAGCACCAACCACTTGTCTTCTGGAACACGCTGCACTCCCTTCATCACTGAGTTGCCCTTTTGAGTTAATTCTCTAGTTCTGTGATGGCATGTGTGCATGTGACAAGAAGAGCATTGTACATGTTTCCATGCTACATTCACACATTACACTTCCTGCTGTTTCATTCATGCCGGTCTCTCTGGACTGAGGGAGGATTCCAGCTAGAGAGTGACCACCAGAGAGAAGCCCCGGTTTCTTGGGAAGTTGGCACCCTTCCCGGGGGCGTTTTTCCAACAGACGCTTCAGGTCACAGATTCTGCTAACCCAGAAATAGTACCTCAGGTTAAGAACATTGCTTCAGGATGAGAACAGAAATCGGGTAGCGGTGGCAGCGCGGCGGCAGCTGGAGGCCCCATTAGCTAAAGTGGTACCTCAGGTTAAGAAAGTTTCAGGTTAAGAACCGACCTCCAGAACGAATTAAGTTCTTAACCCAAGGTACCAGTGTACTTTAAGGGTCATCACATGGAAGATGGAGCAAGCTTGTTTTCTCCTGCTCCGGAGGGTAGGACTCGAACTCATGGTTTCAAGTTACGAGAAAAGAGATTCCACTAAACATCAGGAAGAACTTTCTGACAGCAAGAGCTGTTAGACAGTGGAACAGTCTCCCTCAGGAGTTGGTGGGCTCTCCTTCCATGGAGGTTTTTGAGCAGAGGCTGGAAGTCAATCATTTTCACGAAGGGATTATTTATGGATATCTGTCATGGATGCTTTAGTTGAGATTCTTGCATTGCAGGGGTTGGACTAGATGACCCTACGGTCTAGTCTGTGACTGAGGCATTGCTTTTGGTAACATAGGGAGCTGCCTCATGCCTAGGGGTGTCCGGCTTTCTTGGGGGAGGGGGTTGCTCTCATTGACAGATTTCAATGTTGGGGGGGGGGGTTGACAAAGAAAATTCTGCACCGGGTACCTCCTGACCTTCTACGCCTCTGGTTCTTGGTAAGGCATGAGAATTTTCTCTCAACGTCCAAAGCATTCAGAGAGAAAGGAAGAAGTAACCCTGAATTTCATGTTGTTGATACATTATAAAAACTGAATGAGCTTTGTAAGGAAGAATGAATCTGGTAACGTGAAGGACAGAAGGGGATATGTATGGTCCTGGCTGAATATTGGGAGGGGGTATATTAAGGATAACATTTTAAAGTTTCACAGGTATAAGGTTCACCCTCCTCCAGTACTTAGTAGGGATAGTGTTAAGGGGGACAGAACAGTAGCAGGAAGATTCAGTCTGGGAAAATGGATATTGTCAAGTTGTTGGGGTGTTTTTGCTTAAAGGAACAGCATAGCAAGGAAAACAAAGAGTCTTCATGAATGCTTTTGAGGACTGTGAAGTTTGAAGAGAATGCTCGGGTTAAAGAAGATTGTATAATTACCATTATTATTCAGAGTGTTGAGAACGCATAAAGGAAGACAAATAAGTTGTATTGGAGGAAATATGATTTGAAACTATGATCGATGATTATATGATTAGATAAAGGAAGAATAACTCTACATAAATAACTGGGGAAATGTTATAGTTAAATGAAAATCTAAGCAGGAATTTAAATATGCACAGCCAGTGGAAATTGAGGAAAGGATGGAAAAATAACAGAAATGAGGGGAAACTATGTTATTGTTTCTTTTCTCTCGTTCCTTTGCTGCTAACATTTTGAATGGGGAATGGGAGATAATCAACTTTAAAATTTGTTGTAAATTTGAATTAATTTGCTGTCAATTTCTTAATTTTTTTGGAAAATCATTAACAATTAATTGACACAAGAATTACAGTCCACTCTAGATATCAAAGGAATCCCTGCACAGGTTTCCCTGTCTCACCTTGGATATCTGGGTGACTTGCCAGGAGGAGAAGTGCCCATTTCAGAGAACTGGTGGCTGTGGATGTCCCTGCTATGAAGAGCATGGAAATACTATAAGCCATGTTTTCTTCATCATAGGTGGACTCTGGGTCGTTTTTGCTCTGATTTTGAAAACGGGGAAAGTGTCATGTCATTTACATGCATTACAATCTGTCCTTCAGCACTTATTACTCCCCCTGCTCCTATTAGCATACCACCAACACATGAGGGGTGAGGTGTCCTCTTACACTGCTTGAGGTTATATAGGAAGTTGCCACCTCCACTGCCCTGCTGTCACTGCCACCTCCCTTACTTTGGTCACACAGCAGTGCCCACAATGTGCTAACAACAACAGTGAGGACAGTGAAATATTGCAAGCTCTTGGTGAAATCTTGCAGGAAACTGCCACCGCTCCACTTCTCCACTACTGGCAGGCTAGGATGCTTCCTGTTGGCATTCCACTGCCCAAGGCAGCTGCCTCAGCCTGCCTCATGGGTGGGCCGGCCCTGTGCTTCGTAGCTGGTTGTGACAAGAGACCCATGCACACATTCCTGTGTACACAGCAGTAGCTGCTGGTACTGCATTTGAGAATCTGTGGGTTGGAGTAATAATCCAACACTGGCAGGTAAAGAGGGATGCAAAAGGATCTCTCTGGCAGCAGATATTCAACATGTGGATTACTTAGCACTAAACATATTTAATCATTCTTTAGTCAATCTTTGAGTGTTCAAAGATTGTTCCAAGGAGGCAAGATGAAAAAATATTTTGACCTTTCTAGTGTAGGAATAAATGAGGTAGGAGTTGGAAGTCATATTTAGTTTAGGAACATTTTCTTTAGAATTTGTTTGGTCCCCTGCTGATGAAAGTGATGAGTGATTTTTCCTCTTGCTATGCATTGAAATGTGTAATGAAACGGCTGCCACAAGACACTTGGTGAGTTGGCCATTCATACTATTTGGGCATTCTTACTGTTTGGGCACCACAGGCAACATTTCAGTGGTGAGTATGTTCCCATGAGGTATAACAGGGGTTTTCAAACGTTTTTGCCCACTGCCCTGTTGGATCCATCAACTGATCTCCAGTGCCCACTACCCTAATAAAAAACATTATGCAAGATTAGTGGTTTGCACAACTCACTAAGAAAAATAATAATCCAATAAATCTGGGGAAAAGTAACTCAATGTCATTTTCAACTGAGATTCAGAAAAAAAAATATTGGTGTCCTTGGAAGAGATTAATATTCACTTATAACAGGAAATATAATGATTCCTTGGATGAGCAGCATTCAGTTTCAAAGCAGATACTTACTTTCTCCATCTGAAGCAGATAGAAATCAATGAGATCCTGTGGATCATGCAGAGACTGATTCTCCTTATGCTTCTCTATCTCCTCCTTTGCATATGAAAGCACCATCTCCATGCAGGACAAGGCCTTCTTGTGGGGCCCTGGGAGATGTTTCATGAGCCATGGGAGAATTTCACAAAGCTAAAGGAAAGATAGCAGAAATGCTGCCATTACCATGAGGAAGCTTGGTCATGCAGTTCATGAGTCAATTCATTTGAATTAGTACTTAAAACATGACCCAGATTATTCTTCAGAGCTAGCACATTAGTTTGGGTCTCCCTGAGAAGAAGGTAGGTGTCTGCAGCTTCTCTTGAATCTCACAATGACTGGTTCTGGGAAATATCTCTAGCCAAATATGTGAAAGAAAACTAGGGGTCAAAGTATTTGTTGGGAAGTGGGGGTGGCTAGAGAATACAATTGGGGAAAATTCAAGTCAGTTCACATTTAAGAGTGAATGAAGAGTGATAGGCAAATTGAAACACAGCAATCCTTTGAAATATGCAGTTCTCCAAATCTTGCAATGCAGTTTTAAAATTCATCTTATTTTATTTTATTTTATTTTATTTATTAAATTCCCCAGTTCCCCAGTCAAGTAATGCCCATCTCTTCCTTCAAAAAATCAAACCTTTAAGAAGGGAGCTTTTCCTCTTTCCTAGTTTTCTCATGAAAGATAAATTACTTACATTTTCTGAATGTAAACCTCTCTAGCAAACACTTTGGAGGTTGGGTCTCTTCCATTTCCTTTCCTTACAAGAACTTTGTTCCCAATAACAAATAATATTAAATAAGACAAATACATATCCTGTGTTTGCATCATGGCAATCTGAGGTGAGAGGGCAGAGAAATAGCCGATCCCCATATAAATAAATGCTAGCCAAGAGGTCTCGGAGTAATGAGAAGGAGGAGGCAAGGAAGAGGCAGGAGAGAGAGAGAAGGGGGAGGCAATGGCTAATTCATTTCTGCATACCGAGGTTTGAACAGGACATTTGAAGAAGAATGTGGTGAATTTGACAAGGCTCTGGGTGAAATTGATCAGGAGGAGGGAGGCAAAGCATGCCTCTCAACACAGTTCCGCTTGAGATTTTCTTTGGCAGGTAAAAAAATTTTTATTTTAACAGAAGCCGGTGAGGGAGAGATGTGGAGCACAGCAGGATGGGAAGGAGAAGTGTTAAAGTTTGCCTTTTGGTGGCTCATTGCAGCCAGCAGAAGAAAAGGGGACAGAGAAACACATTACAGCATGGGTAGGCAAACTAAGGCCCAAGGGCTGGATCCGGCCCAATTGCCTTCTAAATCCGGCCCGTGGACGGTCTGGGAATCAGCATGTTTTTACTTGAGTAGAATGTGTATTTTTATTTAAAATGCATCTCTGGGTTTTTTTCTGGGGCATAGGAATTCGTTCTTTCCCCCCTTTTTTTTCAAAATATAGTTCAACCCCCAACAAGGTTGGAGGGACAGTGGACCAGCCCCCTGCTGATAAAGTTTGCAGACCCCTGCATTACAGAGAAAGAAAAGGGGGGGCTCAATCTCAGATTAGATTTAAACCTCATCTCCGTTCTCCAACACTCTATCCTCTATCATAATGGAATCCAGAACGCTGAGGCCCCTGGGAGACTTCTCTGAATCAGCAGGAATGAAAATGACTACTCACAGCATGAATGAAGCTTCCTAGAAATTTTGAGAGAAAATCCAAGTCTTCTATCAGCTTCTTGAACTGTTCATCCTCAAGAGCAAACCGGTGCCCAAAAGCCACAGCACATATCACGTTGGAGACTGAATTAGTGATGGGCATGGAGGGGTCAAGTGGTTGCCCTGCAAAATAAAGTTCTAGTAATGTGAGTTCAGCTGCTCCTGTTCATACTAAGAGTGGGATTTCATGGTGGCCAAGAGAAACTGCTGGGATCTCCATTGGGAACCAAGAAAAACATATCACATTCCTTTCTAAAATGGACAGAGGTCACAAATATATCTCCATATGCCAGCTCAGCACCATCACTTAGCATCACATACCCTTTGAATGTGCAAAAACCTCCACGAGCTGATGGGCCTCCTCTGCTACTTGCTGCTCCATGCCTTTCTTCCCCAGTCCCAGCTTCCGCAGAGTGACTACACCAAAGCGTCTATGTTGCCTCCAGGTGTGACCATTTGAAAATATAATACCTATGAAAAATTAGTGAGAAATTCTTCCTTACAGAAATTAATGTTACAATTAAGTTACCAGCCAAGAAGAAACTTTGTTTACTGAAGTTCATGCCCTTGAATGTGCAAGCTATTCGGTATCTCTGAGGCAAACAATTACAAGACGATGCAAAGTCTGCCTCAGTGTATTTTACGAGTACCTCAGCAGAAAGAGCAAAGAGTTCAAGCTTTTCATCCAGCGCTGAGAGCCAGGACAGTCAATGCATTGCAACTGCAACAGGAAACAAGCTTCTACCTGCAGTTCAATCTAACCACAGTGTAGTACAAAGCACTTGTTAGAGTAGACTAATGGAAATTAATAGACCCACATTAGCCATGCCCATTGATTTCAGTGGGTCTTCTCTGATAAGAACTGGCACTGCATAGAACCCCTATTTCCTGTTCAGTACAACATGAATAGAAAACCTTTGTTCTCTTTTTCCAGACAGCCACTTAAATGTTTTCTTCGGGGGGAGTACCAGCAGAAATTCTCATTACCTACCTTTTCCTTTTGTCATAGCCATAATGAAAGGAGTCTGTAGTCGGTCTTCAAATTCTTCAGAGTGGTCAATGAGAGCTTCTTTCACTGGTTGGAATCCAGACACTATTATGAAGGGTTGATATCCTGCCCAAAGGGTGTAAATGTTTCCATATTGCTTTGCCATCTACCATTTGGGTCAAAAGAGAGAAGAGGAATGCTATGTTCAGATAGTTATTTCAACCGAATATGTGAGCTTCAGCCTTCCTCACCTCTTAAGCATCTCACTATACTCTCTTCTCTTGCCAGCATCTCCTTTTCTTTCTTTTGTTCCTTCCTTCATTCCAACCCATTTGTTTTACTCCCTCCTGCTTGTTTTTTCCCTGCGTGGGATCAGAGCAGCAGAGAGGCACTTCATAGTCTCCAGCCATCTGGTGACAGGCAAGTAGATGAGCCAGCCATTGCCAGAGGCTTCTTCATCATCACCATAAAAACATTTTGTGCGGGGATGTGGAAACTGGAGTCCACCAAATGCTGTTGGACTGCAACTCCCATCATCCCTGACCATTGGCCATGCTGGTTGGGGCAGATGAGCATTGTAGTCTGGAGGGCATCAAGTTGGTATAAGCTTGGCTAGAGCACTGGGTCAGGTTTATGACCCATGGTGGGTCACAACAGCAGAGGCGGAAGGTTACCCAAAGTTGTGGTAAGGAATTAAGAAGAGGATGGAATTAAGTGGTAAGGAATTAAGAAATACCTCTCTGAGTAATTTGGCGTATAAATGTATTAAACAAACAGACAAAATAAATATTGTCTTGTGTCTTCCCTGGCTACATACGAGTTACAAAAGTCCCATGGCTTTCCTGGGAATAGCTAATGATCTCCTGCTACACTGCCAAGTTGGTGTCCATTCATCTATTGGAAGAGAAGAAGTGCATAGCATTCTGGGCCATGTTGCATCACACATGGGAAGAGTGGGAGGCCAAGCTCCAGAGTATAATGCAATAAACTATTTCATTGGCTCAGCTGCTTCTTTTGTGTGGTGTCTTTCAGATTTAAGCATCCTTCATCCTGCAGATACAAACAACACACATAATTATAATATAGAAACTAATATAAAATGTAAAAGGAAAAGAATATGATTAATAATGAAAAGCACAAAAACATATAAAGTAGGAGAATTACAGCATGGGGAGCTAGGTGAGATCAGGAAAATACACATGCCAAAATGTTGTTGCATGGACTTCCGGGTTAGCGCCATCGGCTAACTGGGCTCAGGGCGGTTAATAACAAATTTAAAACACTTAATTGTAAAAGCAGCATAAAATACAGTATAAAAACATGAATAACAATAAAATTCAAAATTCAGAAATCAATTTAGGCGAAACAAGCATTAGGTAATCAGCAGGGCTAGCTGGCTGAATTGGTCCTACTTGGGCCAGCGAGGAGGTCAGGGGAGAATTAGCTGTGGGGCTTCAGAGCGGGTAATCTTCATAAAAGGGGAGGGGGAGAGAAGGGAAGGAAAATAAAATATCAGGCCAAATTAAATTAAAGGCCAGGCGGAAGCAGGTTAAAACCTGAAGGGCTCTAGTCTCATGGGAGGGCTCTAGTCTCATTCCACCAGGTCTCAGCCATCACTGAAAAGGCCCTGGCCCTGGTGGAGGATAGTCTGACTTCCTTAGGGCCCGGGACCTCTAAACTATGGTTATTCATGGACCTTAAGGTCTTCTGTGTGTCATACCAGGAGAGGCAGTCCTGTAAATATGAGGGCCTTCAGACTCTAAGGAAGGGAAACTACCCAAAACTTTCTTCTCTTTAGTAGAAAGTTATAATTTAATAGACATTTGGAGGTTGAAACGCCCATTGGACAGACAATTTACTTCTTTTCTCAGAACCAAATCAATCTGCAGGAAGAATAAATTACATTTGGCCATCCAGCGAGCTAGCATCAAGGACGGTAAAAGTAGAGATTTTGCCAAAAACTCTTTTGGATCATAATTCAATCTTAATGGAGCTAAGAGGGACAGATAATTCGTCATTTAGTTGGAGGATGAATGATGGACTATTAGAAAATGAGAAAATTTTTGAAAAAGCACAAAAGACCCTAAAAGACTAAGGCAGTAATAAGAGGTTTCTTTATACAACAAAATAGCTTTCAGAAAAAAAGATAAAAGAAAAAAGTGGAATTATTAAATCATATAATAGAAAATGAAAGGTTATTAATTAAAAAGCCAGTAAATACACAAAATAAAGAAAATATTAAGATGTTACAAACACAATTTTCAATGTTAATTAATCAAGAAGTGGAATGGAAAATAAAAATGATGAGACAAAGAAATTTTGAATTTGCAAATAAACCTGGGAAATTATTAGCGTGGCAATTATAAGGGTCAAAGCATAAGAAGATTAAAATTGATGAGAAAATAACAGAAAATCTGAAGGAGATTAGGAAAAAAATTCTAAGTTTTTATAAATAATTATATAAAACTGGAAAAGAAAATGTAGATGGAATTGATGAATATTTAAAGCAAGAGAATGTGAAGAAAATTCCGAAAGACCAAAAAGACCAACTGAATGAACTAATAATGTTAGAGGAAGTGCAGACAGCAATAAAAGGGTTAAAAATTGGAAAGGCACCCGGACCAGATGGATTTACAGCAAAATACTATAAAAAAAACTAGGTGAACAAATGTTAATACCATTAAAGGATGTGATGGATAACATTTTGAATAAAGGAAAGATTCCATCGACATGGAAGGAAGCATATATTACATTGATCCCAAAACAAGATGCAGATTTATTTCAGGTTAAAAATTATAGGCTGATTTCGTTGTTAAATAATGACATGGGTAGGCAAACTAAGGCCCCTGAGCCCAATCCCGCCCAATCGCCATCTAAATCCGGCCCACAGATGGTCCAGGAACCAGCATGTTTTTACATGAGTAGAATGTATCCTTTTATTTAAAATGCATCTCTGGGTTATTTGTGGGGCATAGGAATTCGTTCATTTCCCCCCCCAAAAAAAATACAGTCCGGCCCCCACAAGGTCTGAGGGACAGTAGACCAGCTCCCTGCTGAAAAGGTTTGCTGACCCCTGAATAATGATTATAAAATGTTCGCAAGTATACTTGCGAACAGATTGAAAAGAATTTTGAAAGATATGATACATAATAATAATAATTTATTATTTATACCCTGCCCATCTGGCTGAGTTTCCCCAGCCACTCTGGGTATAAAGTGGGCTTTCTCCCCGGTTTGCAGATGAAAGATAATGTAAGAAGTATAGTTGATATAATAGAATATCTGGGGACCAGGAATGATATGCAAGCGGCTTATCATCTATGCAGAGAAGGCCTTTGACAATATTTCATTGACTTTTATGAGGGAAAAAATGGAATTCATGGATGTTGGTCAATGTTTCATAAAAGGGATTAGAGCTATATACTCAGAACAAGAAGCTAGCTTAATAGTAAATAATGTGCTAACAGATAACTTTGAAATTACAATGGGTACAAGACAGGGGTGTCCATTATCACCATTACTGTTTATAATGGTCTTGGAGGTCCTGTTGAAAAATATTTAAAAAGCTGAAAAGGTAAAAGGAATTAGAGTTGGACGAAAAGAAACGAATTTAAAAGCCTTTGCTGACGACTTAGTCTTAATGGGAGAAGAACCATTATCCAGTGCATCGGAAGCACTGGACAGGATTGAACAATTTGGACAAGTAGCAGATTTTAAACTTAGCAAAACCCAAAGGAAGATGCTTGTTAAAAATATGGATGAGCATTTGAAAGATGAGTTGCAACAGAAAATAGGGATAGCGGAGGTAAAAAAGGTAAAATATTTCAGAGTATGGCTAACAGCAAAAAAATGTAAACTTGCTTAAAGACAATTAGACACCTATATGGAATGGAATTGACAGAGATCTAGAAGTGTGGGGAAGGATGAAGCTATCATTTTGGGGAAGAATATCAGCGGTAAAGATGAATCTGCTACCCAAAATGGTTATTTTTATTTCAAACAATCCCAGTAATAAGTGGGTTAAGTTATTTTAAAGAATGGCAAAAAGTTATAACACAATTTATTCGGCAAGGGGAAAACCAAGAATATATGAGGTGTGGAAGAGATATAAAAGCTTATTAGAATGTAAAACTCTGTAGTGGCATTCACCATTGCAAGCGCTAACGGTTAAAAAGTTAAATATGGAAGAAAAATGGGCCACCTACAGAGATTTAGTGATGGAGGAGGGAAATCAGCTAAAACTAAAAAAAATATTGAGGAAATAAAAGAATTATTGAGGGGTTGGTTGCATTATCGTCAGATAAATGAAGTGTTTAAAGAGGATAAAAAGGGAAATGGTTTTGAAACAACAAGATCTAGATTTGAGATAGATTTATTGAATGATAAGAAAAAATACTGTCGAAAATGTATTATTATTGGAATGGCATACTAAAGGTGACAAAGTAAAATTGGTAATGATACATTGGACTAAAGATATTGGGCATAATATACAGTTAGAAGATTGGGAGAAGTTATGGAATGAATCATAGAATCATAGAATTGGAATAGACCACAAGGGCCATCGAATCCAACCCCCTGCCAAGCAGGAAACAGCATCAGAGCACTCCTGACATATGGTTGTCAAGCCTCTGCTTAAAGACCTCCAAAGAAGGAGACTCCACCACACTCCTTGGCAGCAAATTCCACTGTCAAACAGCTCTTACTGTCAGGAAATTCTTCCTAATGTTTAGGTGGAATCTTCTTTCTTGTAGTTTGGATCCATTGCTCCGTGTCCGCTTCTCTGGAGCAGCAGAAAACAACCTTTCTCCCTCCTCTATATGACATCCTTTTATATATTTGAACATGGCTATCATATCACCCCTTAACCTCCTCTTCTCCAGGCTAAACATGCCCAGCTCCCTTAGCCGTTCCTCATAAGGCATCGTTTCCAGGCCTTTGACCATTTTGGTTGCCCTCCTCTGGACACGTTCCAGTTTGTCAGTGTCCCTCTTGAACTGTGGTGCCCAGAACTGGACACAGTACTCCAGGCGAGGTCTGACCAGAGCAGAATACAGTGGCACTATTACTTCCCTTGATCTAGATGCTATACTCCTATTGATGCAGCCCAGAATTGCATTGGCTTTTTTAGCTGCCGTGTCACACTGTTGGCTCATGTCAAGTTTGTGGTCAACCAAGACTCCTAGATCCTTTTCACATGTACTGCTCTCAAGCCAGGTGTCCCCCATCTTGTATTTGTGCCTCTCATTTTTTTTGCCCAAGTGCAATACTTTACATTTCTCCCTGTTAAAGTATTAACTTCACAGCATGCAGTACACAGAGTTATCTGAAGATCCGTAAGGTGAAATTGCTATCTATTCAGGTTGAGTAATATATGATTTCAGGTAATGATTTAACAAGAATAGGAAAAGAAGTGAAACGCAAAGAAGCAAAAT